GTTCTTAAAGTAATAAGACAGAAACTTTACAGGGAGCATTCAATAATGTGTCCTGGGGAGGCAAAAACCACAGTTATGTTCTCAGCTCCAAAGCTTTGTGTACATGCATAGTTGTACCAAGGCACAGGCAAGCTAAACCTATGCTTACTTCAGTGGTAACTAATAAGGTTGGGATTGAGGGCCAGTGACAGGTTGGGTGAGTCGGAAGGTCAGAAAGAGAAAGGCCTTGTTGGTTTTGGTCTTTTCTTAAGACTTGTTGGCAATAAGAAAAATATAGAATATTGTCGGGCCAGTCCTTTAAGTAATACCATCATGTCTCATCCTGTTTTTCTACAGGTTAACTACCTTTCATTAGAAGGAAACCAACCCAGATAATTTACAGTCTTTTCCTGGGCTGATTTCAGTGTGTGTGTTGGGGGGGGTTTCAGATTCTGCTTACAGCTCCAAAAATGCTCAGGCCTCTGAATGTGTAACATGTTAAATACTTAAGCATAAAACTCCTGCTGTCTTTCTGGGGAAAGACATTAAAGTACCACTCCCTGTGTGCGTCCATGTCTGTCTCCTGGACTTTCTATAAGCTCAAAGATTTAATTTTTTATGATTTATGATTTTATGATTTTTTTATTGGATGTAGTCATATGACAGACAAGAATCCATCATCATCGCCACAGTCACAACAACACTACTCAGGATTACACTGGCCACACATACTGTACTGTAGTATGAGCCTGTGCGTCTGTCTGCCCGGCGTCAGAGCGTCTTCCCATATATCATAATGCAGTGATCCGGCAGAAATGGATTTGATCATTGATAAAACTATAACCCGTCACAAGGGCTTGATGAATGTGTCTCCTCGCTGAGTGTACGGGCATGTAAAGTGTTGTGATGATGACCCGGCTGATGTCTAAGTGAGGGGGAAGATAAAACTGGGCATAAATCAGCTCAACAGGGGGATAACAGCACATTCCCACAAATCATCCTGGGAATCTGAGTGTGTCCCAGTCCTGGAGAGGAATTCTGGGAACGCTGCCAGATCCCAGACGCAGAGAGACAGACGAGGATCAGCAGTGTCATTGTGGACTGTTTCGCTCTGCTTCCTGTTTCTGTCCCTTTTCGTCTCTTGTTTGGATCTGCCTGTATTAATTTTTTCCTCTGTCAGTTTTCCTTCATGATTAGCTTTACTGGAGTCCACAAAAAGTAATTTATTGGACAAACAGATAAATGGTTCAGGAAATTAAGCAGTCTACATGCCTCATATACAGAATATACAAGTATATGAAACATGGATGCAAGATTAGCCAAAAAACATTATTATTTATGGGATGGTTGTGGTGTATTAAATCAAAAACCCTGCAGGGCTATATTTCAGTCAAGAAGACACCGTCTGTTTTCAAGCAAGTGGACTACACAGAGAGGCAGAGGGGAGGGGAGGGAGAGGAGGCCAAAAGCAGGAAAATGGAAAGATGAAAAGGCCGCCGGGGTGGCGAGGGATGCACATTAAAAACATTAAGAAAAGAGAATTACATCGGCAGAGAACAAGGTCTTTGAGGGAGTGCTCAGAGAGCTCGGTGAAAGAACAAAGGGAGAGCTTGAAGTATAGGGAAGCCCTCAGCGGATAAGACTCTGGATAAGTGTCGGAGACAGGATCGTAAATCCTGAACCCCATAGTCTGCACGCTGGGGCCAGGGTCAGAGAGGAAGAACACAAAGAGAAAGGCTGAGGAGAGGTGGGAGGTGATAATATAGAAAGATAGACTGAAACCATAGCCATAAAAAAACAGCTTAAGGTTGATACTCAATGACTAAAACCAGATGCAATTCAGATACTTCACCGCTGGGATGCTTTCAGCCACTCTGTTAAATGCCGTCTGTGCTCAGAGATGGGACTGAACATGGCAACATGGCAAATGGCAACAATGTCAGGGTCATAACGCATGGATCAAATTAAGGGCTGTCATTTTTTACCCTGTGTCTCACACCAGGCATTCCTCACATTCTGTCTTCTTGGGCATGCAAATACAGCTCCAATGAGTCATGTGTGCATCTAAATACACTATCGACACCTTTAAAACAGGAATGGTGGGTGACATCACTCCTCTGTTGCAAATACTTGTCAAAGCTGAATTGTCCAACAGTTGCTATTGACGCAAATGAATAAAAGGTAAAAGAAGCAGAGAGGGGGAAGAAATACCTCATCTTATGCTCACCTGTCAGAGGTTTAGTCTATGCTCTTTCCAAAGACGTTTACCCTAAAACAACACCAAAAACACACGACTGCAAGATAGAAAATGAGTAAATATGAGCAGCTTCTGTTGCGCCACGACACAAAACAAGAGCTACCCCAATTAAAGGTCTACTTCAGGAGAAAATAATCCTAATGATTACATCAGTTATCTCAGCCTGGGCTTGGAGAAAAATTATAACAATAAAGCCTGCATAACAAACTAGATGTTGAAAGATGTAGCCACTTACTTGACATGGAGGGTTGAATGAAAAAATGCTGTGGAGCTGCATTATAGGAAGTGCAGTGTTTTTGGACTGGAGTGTCAGGATACCTTGACCTCTGTTGCATTAAGTAACGCAGCTTCATAGAAGTGCAAAGCTAAATACTATTTACTCCGGTTTCAGTAACATTTTCTAAAATAGTGTAACGCCCAGCTGTTTTGCTAACAAGAACAGACATAATGGCATTATTCTGGGTTAATATCCCCCTTTTGACAGGATTAAAAAAGCATGCTATGACATATTACTGAAAGAATAACGTTGGTTATATTTGACAATTTTCTTATTGTCAATTATATTAGTTTTCACAGCTTGAGATTGTGTTCCTCTTGTAACTTTTCCCCTTTGCCATTCTAACCATTGCAAATTATATTTGTAGCTTTTCATTAACTTTATAGGCACTCTCCAAAGCATGCTAATAAAACTTCACTGATTGTTGATTGACTGAGTGTGCAAGTCCATCTCAACTATAAGTTTCAAATGAATCTTTTACAAAGGAAAAGAGAAGTGACAAGCAGAACGAAGACAAAAACATCAATGTGTATAACCAGGACCAGGGAAGAGGTTTTAAGTTGGGGGTGCTGTAGTGGGAGGAGCATTTTACCACAACTCATACAATACAATCCATACAATTACAACATAGGCCTACAAAAATACTACTACACACACACCAAAAAAGCAGCAGCAGCAGCAACAACAACAACAGCAGCAGCCAAGTCTATAAAAAAAGGACTCAGAAATGCTATTGCACAATAATAGCTCACAATAATGCTATAACATTGCAACACACACGTCCATAAGCCCATTGCACACAGCACACAAAACATATCCAAATATGCACAATTTTTTCAACAAAGATACAGTATATCAGTGTCATGTTAAGAGTATTTGACAACTGAATACTAGACTGCTCAGCATCAGCTTACAATACTACACCACCAAATGTATGCCTCTATTGTGACTAATAGGTCCAAAAACCCATTGCACACAAGAACATATGCAAATACAAATACCACATTTTTTCAACAAAATTACTGTATATCTGTGCGACGTTCAGCTGAATATTAAACTGCTCGGCGGCAGCTTAAACCAAATAACTTACCTTGGGCTGCAGAGAATGTGCTCCAGTAGATAAAATAATCCAAATGTGGCCATCAGGATGGCCTGGGTCCTGCTCCTCGGGGCACCAAACAAACCCATTTCCCTCTGCTGCCTCTTCACGCAAGCAAAACACAACCTGACCACACTCCGTCACATAATGAAGCCGCTTCCTTTTAGCAAACCAAGTTGGTGTAAATGCACGGCTGAAAGTTTCTTTCCCAAAACGTCTGGCCGGAAAACTGAAGTTGGGTGGCTGGAGAGGCTCCTCAAATGCCGCCAAGCCAGTCCTAGCCTGACACCTGTTAGCAGCAGGCCCCTCAATGGTGGCGGTGCTAACGGTGATGCTGCGGAGGCAGTCTCCTTCACCCAGGAAAAACGATGCAGGTGGAGCCGCTCTCCCGCGAGGGCTGAACTTCATTTGTGCTCTCTCTGGCTGGTGGTTTGCCAAAAAAAAATCTGCAAGACGCTTTTCCTCCATTGTGATTCAATCCTTCGATTAGCTATCAATGCTACAGCAGCCGGATGTAAACTTAGGAACCCTACTACAGAGTTGTCATGACCCGCCCTACACTGCCTCTGATTGGCTAATGATCGTTACCTTCGCTGGTTGGATTGATTAGGTCAAGGCATGTGGCGTGAGGATGGTTAGGGTCATGGTAAGAACAGAGACAGTAGAGAAACAGAGGTACTTTGGTAAGAAGTCATTTTGAGCCACAGTACAACTGGCCATGTCGACACTACAACAACATTATGCTCTCGCTAGGGGGCGCTAGCTCCCGCGGCCGTGTGTTGGCCAACTGTTCCTTTCAGTGCTTTCAATGCTGCTGGTCCTGTTTTTCTCCATGATTCCATTAAAATACCCTTGTAATCTTCCCAGTTCATTAGTGCAAACAAGAATTTGTTCTTAACTGATACAACCAACGTGGATATAATTAATTAAGGGTGTGGTAAAAAGAAAAACAACATAAATTGAACTGGACAATACGTTATATCACATATATTGTATATGAATGGTAGTGCCATTCACTCTTTCCATTGAACACCTGTTTTTATTTTAGTTTTTCTATGACCTCCTCTCATGTTTCTGCTTCAATAAAAAAAAATGCAGCCCAATTAGGACATACATACCTTTTCAAATATATTCTTCAGGACTGATTACTGAGTCAGGAATTTGTAGAGCGTAAATGAAGCCGAGGCTGACATATATGTGTATGTGTCTGTTTCTGCACGTGTATGTGTGTAGTTGTCTGTATCACATGAAACATGTGACGTATGTTTCCAGGGGTCTTTAATAGCAGGGGATAGTGTGGTAAGTAGGAAGTAGGGAATGTGTCCTGTTGCTGTCCTGGGAGAAGATGTCTCTTGCTTTTAACATGTCGACCACAATGTTTCTGTCAGCGCTCCTGATGCTGGGAGGTCTTGGAGGGGCCACAGCATCTGACCTCCAGGTCTATGGGAAATTACTTCACAGTGATAAGACATTGCTGAGCAGCGAAGACGGAAGACACACTGTGAGGAAACAGCCGCACCAAGAAGTAAGAAACATTTAATAAACCCGACTGAGATATTTCATCTATCTTATTGGGTTCTCCTTTAGAGCTGAAACAATTAGTTGATTCATTGATTAGTTGATTGATTAGCTGTCTCTGATTCCAGCTTTTCAAGAGTGAGGATTTGATGTTTTGCTTTGTCATATATGATGCTGAGTTGAATACCTTTGGGTTAGGGGCTGTTGGTGAGTATTTAAAGACCTTTTCAGTATTTTTCAGTATTTTATAGACAAAACAGTTAAATCAGTAATCAATATATTATTTATCTACAGCCCTACTTTCCTCATGTTTTGTACTATAGACAGCGTAATTGACTGAAACTGTTGTTGTAATGCCATATATCTTTTTTTTTTACATGAAAGTGTATCAGCCTATTATGGAAATGGACAAGTCATGTTAAAGTACAGGAAGTCACTGTTTGTGTTAAATATTGTGTTTACAAAACATAATCCTGGAACTGATCTGGTATAAAGTGATATTAAATTCATCCATTTTTATTTTATATGATTATAGCATGACTAGATCCTTACTTTTTCTTTCATTATCTTTATTATTTTTTCTTTTTTTTTCCTTTCATTGAAAATTATACAATTTTTATTATGTTATAAAAAATGATATGAATAGACTGGTCAAGACAACTTGTTGCTCTTTACAGACAAATAGTGAAATCCGCAGGAGTTTGGATCTCGAGAGTTTCAACATGCATGTGACCCCGACCACCAGCAAAATCAGCCTCCCAACCATCATCAGGCTCTACCCGCCCACTGCCAAACCTGTCCACATGCATGCCAACATGCCCATGCGCTTTGGAAGAGAGAGCGATCCTGGTGATGACAGGGCACCAAACTCAAACCCCAACATGCCCCAGAGGTTTGGACGGTCCTGGGAGGTGATTCGAATGTGTGCCGAGTGTCCTGATATCAGAGAAGCACCAAACCCAGCGCTGCCTGAGCGATTAGGGAGAAATAGTCCTTTCTGGATCCTCCTGAGGACTCTGGCCAGTGAACGGTTATTTAACACTGGCTTGCACTGGTAGGTAACTCTTGTCCTTAATGACATTATAAGTTGACTATAAGTTTTGTTATGAAAAACACTGTGCTTTCTTCCCACAGGGCTGAGGATTTCGACTTTACAACCAGCTCAGAAGAGGTGGAGATGGAAGAAAAAACCTTTAAAGGATGAAAGGGGCTGCACAGGCCTACAATCAGGTCTACTATAGCATGTAAATATCAAAGTGTTTTTACTGTAAAGACAAATGTTTTAAAGTTGAATGTTAAAAAAAGCCTAGTGAGTCCAATGATTGAAATTCTTTAGTCCCTTAAACATAATTATATTATTGTGATGGAAAACACATCTTAAAGAATGATAATAAAAGTTTCAAGCAAGTGGTTTGTGTTTATTTTGCACTTTTATATGTTTCTTCTGCAAAATAATATTATGAAATCCTCAGCCCCTTACAGATGGACAGTATCCCTGTGACTTCAAACCTAAAATGTGGGCAATAAATAGTGTTCTGAAGGTTGAATCTAGCTGAGCCACCACCACCTACTCTCTCTCTGCGCTGCAGGAAGCTGTGCCTCTGATATGGTTACTGAATCACACACAGAACATTCTTCCCCTGTGTCTAATGCAAAATAAACACCATGAGGTGGAGCGAATTACTTTACTGAGTGATTCAAAATGTTTTTCATTCAGTTTAAAATGGAAACATCCATTAAACCAGAATTTGTTTCTATAAAGTCATTTTATGTTTAATTCTATAAACCCACTGTTTGGATTTTTTTTCTGGTTATGGGGTTAGTTTTCAGTTCTACATTAACCATCAAGCAAACTGCAGGTGTGTATGAATACTGAGCATCACTAAACAGCAAACTGTTGATACCCAGTGAAACACTATGAATGCAGCAAGGCTTAGTTGCCTTGTTGTGACCAGTGATCGACAAGTGCTTTTTAAATGATGGGATTAAAAGAAAAGTATCCTAACAAGACCGTGCTGCCATAATACCCATCAATATATTAAACAAAATTAATATAAAATAAATATTCTAAATAAGCCTTAGAAAGTATAACCATATGTAACTACTATAAAAAGCCATATGTAGTGCACCACACACTATAACTGCCATGAAGGAAAAATAGAGCCTTGAGCAGGGTTTATTCAGTACAGTGAAACACCACTAGAGGGAGTTAAAACACCAAGTAAAATACTTAGAATATACTGCCCTCTGTCTTTGTACCTTTATACCAATGAGAGGTAAATTAAGACTGCACTGCCCTCTGCTCCCCTCTGTCCTATTTCTCTGTGACATGTTTTTGTCCATCTGAAGTCTGTCCAGATGAGCCAGCTGAGTCTGAAGTGAGCTCAGGGGTCTGTCACAAGGTGCTGGACAACATGAATCATGAAGCAGGACTCTTGCTGGCCAGGTCAGAGGACGGATGAGGTGCTTGTGTATTAACACAGTGGCCTATTAACACAGTGGATACTGGCATCTATCAGTCGTTTAAACTGGTGGATATTTTTGAAAAGTATAATATAACAAACATTTTCAGTGTAGTCCACATAATGACTGAGAACAGATTTGAAGGAGATAATTCTCCACATTTGTGATCTGTCCTCAGTAGTGACACTGTGTGTTATATGGAGATCTGCTCAACAAGAGACCAAATATGACATAATGAAAACAAAACAGATACACCTTCTGCACAACAGATATTTTGACATGTCATAGCAGGAAAAGCACAGGTGTGAATCACATCATTAATTATGACTGCAATCCATTTAGGTGTGTCAGGTCAATATATTTGAGCAGATAATGTATTTCATTTATAGGGTCAAGTATGACGGATTTGAGGTAATCTTATTATGCTACTTAATGTTCTGTGTAATTTTTTACATAGATCCTAACAATCTGTTTTAAATGTAAAACATGTGTCATCATGGCCCTAAAACATCTAAAACAAGGGGAGGTGTGTTGGGAGGGTCTCAGGTTGAGGGGACTATAGGAATGAGTCACACAGGTGTCTATAGCACTGTAGATTATGTGTACCAGACCTCACTGAGGAGAAACTTGCTCCACCACTAATATACTGTACATAACACTTCCACCCAGTTACATGAGCACCTCAGCTCAGTTTGATCCCGTCCTAACAAAGCCCTAAAACGTAAAGATGACTCATGGTGAAATTATTTCATAGCTACGGCTACACCGGTGGTTTATTCCCGTACATTTTTGGAAATGGGTGTGACCTCATACGTCGTCGTGCCGTCATTTTCACCGAGTTACTCAATGTGACATTATCACGCCTTTACTTAATCCGACCCAATTGCTCTGTCCCGGATTTTGAGCCCACAAACGAGTTTACAAGGAGAGGCAGCTGGAGACAACAAGCAATAACGAAACTTGAGATTTGCCTCAGAAAAGGTGAGGAAGCTCTACTCGACCTCAGGTACGGTCACGTTTATCTTTGGTTAGATCACGCTTGTTTGTTGTGTTTTCACCGTCTTCTTCAGACGAAAACACCATGTCGCTGTATCCTGATGTAACCTCTGTCTGTGTTGAATTATATATTGCAGGCTAGACTGCTGTGCTTTCCTTCTTAATGTTTTCTGTAATAATGAGTTGACGTTTTTTTATACGTGACAGCGATTTTCTGTTTCATCCAGACTAATGAAAAACTTGGTGTTCCGTATTTCCTTGACAACACAAACGCTTTTTTGTTTTAAATCTTTTGAAACCTGTTGCGTTTCCCTTGTTCTCTCTCTAGTTAAGTAATAAATGTTTCATAACTTTTTAAACAGCAATCCGGAAGTTTGAGGGTAACTTTGAAATGCCCTGAGCTACATTGTGTCCAACGTTTTGTCTCATTGGTATTTTTCCACTAACTTCATGTATTGCTGTAGACTGATATGACTGAGTGTAACTCGTACTGTTTCCCATCATTTTCTCTCCCCCACCAGCCGCTGGTCATGGGGGACATCAAGAAAGGGAAGAAAGTGTTTGTGCAGAAATGTTCCCAGTGTCACACAGTGGACGAAGGGGGGCGGCACAAGGTGGGACCCAACCTGTGGGGTCTGTTCGGGAGGAGGACAGGACAGGCAACCGGCTTCTCCTACACACAGGCCAACATTGATAAAGGTATGAATCACTGTTGTGGTGAACACCTCAGATAAGATGTCTGACTGACTGCTTGGTTGATTTATGGACTATATGGTTGCAACTGATGCAGCTAAAGCAAAAATAGGCAAATTAGAAACCAAAGAGAGCACAGGTGCATCCAGGATGTTGTCTCACTTGTCCCTTGATTGATATGGAGCAGACATCATCTCAAAAGATCAATTCATGTCAGTTAATCAATTAATGCAAAAGACTGATTGCTTCTGCTCATGACTGACAAGAAGAGTCAAAGCTACCTCACCGTTACTTGTAATAGATCACCATATGCTGTATAGCCAACCAATAGAGCAAATATTTCATTACCCCAAATGGTGTCTGAGCCTTCACTTATGCACAGACACTTGCAGCCTGGAATGCCAGAGAAAAAAGGTTTTACTTGCTGTCGTCATGATCTCCGACACCATGAAATTGCTCTACAACTCTCAGTATAGTTCAAGTTTCAGTATGCAGTTGTATGCTCCGTACATCCCAAACAATTGTTAAACTCATGGACTAGACTGAAGATGCCCACTGACCTATTCATTGGCCCAGCTGCTGTGAATATGCTCTGTATGTATTGGCTCTTTATGAGAATCCATTATAAGTCTTGGCAATTTTGCTCCCCATAATGTTCTCTATTCTTGGAAGCAGAAATAGTGTCATCATGAGATATACTTATTAATTTGTTTGGTTTTCAATTGTTTTAACATGGTGTCAAATACTGTCTTTTCTTCTTCCCATGAATATAAGAGAAATGTGAATATTCAGGTATGTGCAATAAATGTGTCACAGTTACTCCTGCAGTGCAGCAAAGCAGCTTGGTTCTTGTATTTCCTATACGTGACAGACGGAACTTCAATGGCTGACAAGGGCTAACGCGCTGCAGCAGCCCAAAACACTTCAATTAGGAGAAATGTGTTGCAAATTCAGAAACGATGCCGATTCAAAAATGCATACAAAACAAATACAATGGAAATGTGCTGCAAGTGAAAAAATGTGCTGCAGGAAGCCGAAACCAATACATTAAAAGTAAATATGCTACAAATACAGAGACAATGCAAAAACGTACAAATCCTCAAACAAATGCAACAGAAAAAATGTTGCATGTCCACACAACACAACGGTAGTTCCCCTGGCCTCAAAAGGGAGCGCTAAGTGGAGCAGCTTGAGCTTTGACTGGAGAGACTAGACCTGAGACAGTTCAGAAAGTTATAGATCATCTTTTCCCAGACCCATAGACATATAAATGTATTGGCTACTGATTGTACATCAACGTTGCCGCCATATTGGCCCAGGCAAGACTGACCTGTAAACAAACCCAAGTAAACAGAGGAACTGCAGCTTGTCTGGATAAAAAAAAGCTCTATAATGTTTTTATTCCTCAACTGATTTCAATTAGTAATTTTTATATTCAAGGGTTTATGATCTACATTAGAGTAAAAAGAACATTTTGTCTCCAGATACTTACTCACAATAGTTTAGGCTATAATTACCATTTTCCATAAGGAGGAATGTGCATCAGGTTTACATGAACTGAATTATTTACATGGCCACTCTACAGAACAGCAGGTCTGAACAGGCAGGACGGCAGTGACTGAGCTTTGCCCTAACACGAGGCAATAAAACCTAAATACAATCATTAGATGTGTGAGAATGCAGATATGTGACAAATACAGTAATGTTCATGAAAACATAATGCAAGCCTTCTCATGTTTTAACGTGTATGTTCGTTGTTTTAGGCATCATATGGGACGAGGAGACTCTGAATGTTTACCTTCAAAACCCAAAGAAGTACATTCCTGGTACCAAGATGATCTTCAGTGGGATCAGAAAGAAAAAGGAAAGACAGGATATTATAGCCTATTTAAAGGACGCCACCTCCTAATACACTGACAACATAGAACCCACATACAGCTGTGGACAGAGGAAAAACACTGTACATTGACAGAAAAATAACAAAGTGTGATCTTTGTTTTAATTTTGAGTTCATAATTTACAATATTTATACGACTACATTTTGTTACATTACAACATTGCTGCCACGCTGTGTGTAGGAGGCTGTTTTTAATTATTATTCCTGCAGTTTAAGGATTTTGCAGGCACTTCTCAGCAGGGCTTTTTAAAGAGGCAGCCTTCCTCTGGACTTTTCTAAAAACAGTTTAGAAAGTTGTTTACCTAAAAACTTTACTGCCACTTGCACAGAAACTGTGGTTTCCCACACTTTGCATTTTCGCCACTTTAACTCTTACCGCTTAACAAAACAGTTTTTTAAGCTTATTTTTCTATTACATTATGTTTACTACTTGTTAAGTATATTTCTGTTTACATATAGTTTTCTTCTGTGGTATAAAAATGGGTAAACTTTGATAAAGTGTTTGTATTAAACTGTGCTGAACGGACTACATTATCTCCCCTTCTTTTTTTATAAGCCACTGAGTGTTATCGAATTTTATTGGTGTAAAGCACTTTAAAATCAATATGTTTTGTACCCACACATTTTCTTTTCACATAAAAAAAAGTAAGGTCAGATAGATTTGTCTTTTACAGTTTGTTTTTAGTTAAAGAACCATGCTTAAACTTGGTCTATTGTTGGGTTGCTTATGCTGGGTCAAAGGGGTTGTAAGGGTTTAATTCGTTGTTGGCAACCTGGCTTACTTTGTCCCAACTGCTTGTTCATTAATTTTCCCGCTTGGCCGTTGTCAAATTATCTGTATCAATCTTGCGTTCAGAGATTCACTGCTAATTCTGGTCATCACAATTTCAATATTAATTTGAAATTAAACAGTTACCTGCACTCTGTGGGCAGAATTGCCCACAAAATATTTTGAAGTTCAATAACAACTTCAATAACATTAGCTGCTAAGTATGGCCATTGCACATACATTTCCAATTAAAATGAAACGTTTTCAGTAATGTTAGCTGTTAATTTATGGTCATCAGAATTTCAAAATTCATTTGAAATAAAACTGTTACACTTACTTTACCGGGCAGCATCACCTACGAAAAATTTTGAAGTTAGGTCAAATGAGACAAAAAAATGACAAAAAAAATAATGATTCTTAAGTGAATACACTGTGAAGAAAATTGAGTAAGCTGCTGAAGTGTCCATTATATTAATTACAGTATATGAATAAAATATATCTTTAATAACATTAGCTGCCAAGTTTGGCCGTTAAAAATACCTTTCTTATTAAAATGAAACTTGTTTAATAATATTAGAAGCTAACTTTGGCCATACCACCACCAGACCGCCTGACACCTGCTCATACGTCTTTCTCTTTCAGAACAACTGCTTATATAGTCCCTGTTTCTACCGAACAACTAGCCTGGGCAAAACCAAACTTTATTTAGGGGATCTAAGTAAATGTCACTTAAAAAGATTAATTGACAAAAGTTACTTTTATCAGTACACATCAACAGTACAAACAAGATGTAATTTGTAATTCTCTAAACAAACAACAACAATGTACAATTGCTCCAAATCAGACAAATACTTATTTACACAGTAGATATTAAACTTATGACCAAGTCAAAGTCATGGTATGACCCATGACATCATTGATGACATCACCAAGAGGATAAACTATGGAAGTGTTTGGCCGCCACCCCCTTCAATTACTCCTGGAATCCATGGTGAGTGTGGTGAATCAAATCGTTCAGATTAAACCAATATGGAACAGTGAAAGGTAAATGTAACAAAACACAATGCTAACCACAAACCTGTCATATTCAGTGTTTCTAGTGCTAGACAAAGCATGAGATTTCTGTTCTCACAATTGCTGTATACATACACACACTCATACACAAGATGTAAGTGCAAGTTACATTAGCTGCTAACTTCTGGCTATCACCATTACAAAGATAGTTTTAGCGCCTCCTAACCTCTGATTATTGCAAGGCTAGCTTTAGCTAATGATATGGGTAGCATTAAGCTACATTACACAGTGCCAGTAACATTAGCTCCCCAATTTGGTATTCATGAATTAAATGGTAAGAAAAAATGATGTCAGTTACATTAGCTACTAACTTATTGAATACAAGGCTAGCTTGAAGCTAAGTAATGCAGTGCCACTAACATTAATCATGATGCTAGCATTAGCTGCATTCAAAGGCTAGCATTAGCTGCTTTTTTCAAGGGGTAGCATGAGCTAACCTTTGGACACGAGGCTAGCATGAGCTCCAAACTTTAAATTCTAATGGTAAGATAAAATGCCAGTAACTTATAGAATACATGCTAGAAAGACAAAAAAAATTGTAAATGAGACTGCAAGGGAAGAATAAAATCTAAAGGAGAAACAAGAAAATTTAAATCATTTGTCCTGTTTTGATATGAAACATGATCAAGCTTTTTTCACTCTCAGATCCGTCTTTCTTTCAGGGTTTAGTTCTTTCATTCTCAGTTCAGTGTTCTTGTTCTCAGTTAGCATTTACAGTTTTCTCATGTGGGTTTTGTTTTACAATCATGGTTAATATTTATTGCTTTCAAGTTTGCTAGTGATTATTGGAGGCCAGTAGCCAACTATTTAATTTGGAACTGATTTGTATGGCAGCACTCAGCGGCATGAGTGAAGTTACTGATGGCCACATTGGTCTGATGTTTTATCTACAGCCCTTCTAATCAGCCCCAAGAATGTTCATTTCCTGTGTAATCAGGAATAAGATCTTCCAAACAGTGAAAAAATGTATTCACTGAACACAATGCCTGTAAGATCTGGTGTGTGCACAACAGCTGTGTATGGGTGTGTGGGTTTAAAGTAATATTAAAAATAGTAAAAGTCAGAACTACTATTTCAAAATAACTTGAGTTTGAATACAAATTTAATTTTTTTGCCTTTCACATAATTGCATTTGGCCATATTTTGCTTTCAATGTTTGCAATCAGTGGTTTTTGGTGATCCTACATTTTTTTCTGCATTTTGATACTGATAACTAAATGTCAGTTGTATTGCAACACTAAGTGACTGATGTGTAGCCTAATTAACAGGGGTTGAGAATTTACAAAATGCAGAGACCAATCCACCGTTCCTGCACATTTTGTACCTTGGAGATGAGATGATGACATACCATTAGGACACACCATCAAAACAGACTCTTCACTGTGGGCTTTAGATGTTTGTTTCATGATATTTGACATCAATTACACCAAGCACTGCCTGGAAATTTCCCTAGCATGCAGAGTATATTATGTACATTTGTATTCATGAATAATAACTAAATTTTGCAAAACATTTGTAAAATGTCATTAAATGTATATTACATAATTGTTATATAGTATACTGTTGTTGTTGTTGTTGTTGTTGTTGTTGTTGTTAAAGTATCAAGGCGGATGAGACTGGAAACAACCCAGCAATAGAGTTTCACTCACTAGTATGGGGCAAATTAAGAACATTTTGGGTCAAGTGGTAAAACCCAGCACTTGGGTCAAACAAACCCAGTGCATGTTCTGTCCCATAGTTACCCAGCAGTGGAGTAAAGGTTGCTGTTATTTTTTAACCCAGCAGTTTTTGAGTGCAACTGCTTGCCTGTAATGTTTTTACTGAGTTGCTGTTTTACTGTTATTACTTTTCCAGATTATACCTTGACCTTGACTTGAGCATTAATACTTAATGACACTTAATGAGGACCAGTATGAAGAACATGATTCTTTAAGACAGCGTTATAAAGATGGAGAATTAAATAATGAATACAGCAGGCCTTTATAGTGACATGAGTTATTGATATATTCAGCAAATCAAAAAGTGACACTTGTCAGCGATATAGTTAAATTTAAAGCCATCCATAGTCATATTAATTTTATTACCGGACATAAATATATAAGGTTTTGGGAGTTTAGGAGTTTGGAGTTTGTAATGGACAGTGAAGTTATGCAAGACTATGGAATAATGATTTCATTTTTGTTATGAAGTAAAATATCCAGCAGAGGGCGCCGTTTCACTGCTAAAGAGATCATCAGCATCACTATGGATATAAAACGTGCCAAGCGAGTGCAAGCATGCAGACTTGAAGTGTCAGAACCATCCCAGTCATTCAACCTGCCGTTCTGAAGTCGATCCAGATGACACGAGTGTTAGTGTCCCTCTGATCCAGACCCGCTGGGACTGAGCTGCTGTCACCGCTGTCTTTGCTCCAGTCAGTGGCCTCTGTTGGGCATTTGGCGCCCGGAGAAGAAGGTCCTCCCTCCACACAACTGTTGTATTATTGACCGGCGGAGGGAAAGAAGCGGGTCGATAAGTGGATCAGATTTATTAGTGGTCCAGATTGGCTACGGCACGTCAAATGTCAGAGGAGTCACGGTCCGTGCGACTGCACACCGCGCGCTGCATTTAGGTGAGAGGAGCGCCAGACATAGACTGCGCGTCTGCAAGTGCGGTACAATTTCAAGTGGAAGGTAAGGGGGATGTTGTGCGTTTCAAGTCATGGATGTGTATGACATTGCTTCTCTGTATGATTAGGATATTGAGACAAGGTGGACATTTCATTTAATCAGATTAAAATAAAAGGGGTGTGAGCCATAAACCGATGCAGCATCTTTTCTGCGAAACACGTGGTTCAACACGGGATTATCATTTTTAAGGATTTCCGACATGTACTAATTGACCTGCATTCATCAAATGAAATGTGAGAATGATCTTAATGCTTGTTTGAATGAACATGTGACAGCCTTACTGATATGATTGTTACCGGTGAGTGGTCGCCTATGATTCTGTCTTAGGGCTGAGGGAGGTTGCTGCACAGCTGGAATTACAGCGGTGGCTGCATCTGCTGCAGTGTGGAGCTGCAACAAGTTTATTATGCTGTGAGGAGAGGGAGGGAGAGAAGGGCTTAAGAGGACTAAAGTGAGGGAGTGATGAAATAGTGACACCCTCAAGACAGATTAAGGAAAAGAAAGTGGCAGCTGCCAGTAGGTGCATTAAGCTCAGACAGTATAAATAGTGTGTGTGACAGCTTGTGTTGTGCGTTTTAGGGAAAGCACAGCAGCAGAATGGAGTTGGTCAAAATTGCAGTGTCCTTCCACATCCTTCTTTGTCCTGCATGGACCGTATCCCATCACCCTTACATGGACAGCATCCTCTCAGCCCAGGCAGGTAAGACATCCAACTGTGTGTGAGTGGATTGCAAGACTGACTGAACACATGCAACGGTCCGTCACTGCTGTGATTCACCATAGCAAGCTGCCAGTGATGCATGCTGCTCTCTGTTTTCCTTTCAGCCCTCAGGTCGCTGGATGAGCCGATGAGGTTTGACCCTTGTTGCCTCATGTCACCGCCTCCGCCACCGCTCTTCCCTCCACCGCCTCAGCTGTGGAAGCGAGGCAGCCCCGTGGGTCTTCACAATCACACTCCGGCTTGCATAATGCACCCTCATATACATACATTCATATACACACTGATTGAAAACCTACTTTCTTTGGTTTTGTTTGTGTGTGTGTCTGTCTTTGAAGGATGGTATCGGCATTTTAGAACCAAGTGTAATTGGAGGAGAGGGCCAGCAAAGAGAAAAACCTGTGATACCAGGGTGTTCACCTGGACCACCAGGACCTCCTGGACCCCGGGGTCCAGAGGTAAGGCCTTGCTTCAAGATGAAATACTACTCACTTTTGTAAGCCTCAGCTAGTAGCTGCACCACTTTTTAGTCTTGATTGCATCAAATTGTGTAATCAGCCTGTTGCAGCCATTTTAAGGCAGTGGATGGAAATATTGTTAAACAAGCAATGACCTTTTTAGTATTGATTTTTCTCCACATATACTGCTCAGTAGGGAATATGTGAGCTGTATATAAATTTGATGTCATTTTTCAGGGTCATGGTGGACTGCCCGGCATAAGAGGACCAAAAGGGGAGAAGGTGTGTGTTTTTTGTGAATATGTCTCTAATGTATTTTGCTAAAGAGGTATTTTTTGCACGTGCCATTGTGTTCTTCTCTGCTCTAATGAGTGCTCCATCTCCTCTCCCCTCATTTGTCCTCCTCCAGGGAGAAATTGGACGGCCTGGGTCAAAGGTGAGCTGCTCCTCCTCTCCTGCATATCTTGTTCTCTCGCTCATCTCTCTCTGGTCCATCTCGCATGTCCTTGGAATAATGCAATCTGGATTTCTCCCTCTCTCTGTCTCTGTTGTCCATTCGACGCATCCTCAATCTCTGTGATGTGATTTGTCTATTGATGTGCTCAGAATATCCTCTGCAGCTGCTAAATGGGTCATGCTACATAAGTCTCAGTGGCCGCTGTAACCACGTAGCAAAGCTTGATCGCATCCCTGGATGTCTCCTGTCCATCGTCCTGCTCCTCACCTCTATATCACTCCCCCTCTTCTTTCCTTCTCCTCTGCTCCTTTTTTCTCCTCTCTCTCCTCCTTTCCTTGGCCTGGCTCCATTAGCCCGCGTACTGGACTCCAGTCCTGCTGATCCAGCCTCTCCAGCACTGCACTTCTGCACTTTAATCTCCCTAAGTGCTTTTGCTCTCCATGATAAATCACTCCACACAGCAGCAGGTCCACAGTATCTCTATAGGCTGCTGTTTTAATGACAGGCAGCTAAATGAGAGCACTCTGCTAGCATGGCAGCAGCTCTGGGACACTCGCCCAGGTGTCACCAAGATGTGAGGCTGTTGTGTAATATATTTGGCTCTCCTGCTTGCAGGGAACTGGTGATAGAGTGATCTCGATTAAGGCTTTATTCCTGTCCACTAACTGGTAAATCTCAGTGGCGTTGTCAAAGCTTTGCAAGCCAGGTTTCGTCCTCTCTCATTAGGAAATCATAGTTAGTTAGTTTGACTTGTTTGTGACACTTTCTAAACTTGTTTTATCCTTATTAAAACATGAAACAAGCATCAGAGGGAAGGTGCCTGGCAACCCACAGACATTCCAGGAAGTAGGCGTCCTCCACAAACTCGTTCAGTTTAATGACACTTTTGCAGCAGGTTCTGTGTTAAGAATTGAATGAGCACTAATAGTTTCACCAAGTACTGGTTTGTGTTTTCTGTAGGGTCGCACAGGAGCTCCAGGCCTCCCGGGGAAACAAGGACTACCAGGATGGCCTGGTCCAGAGGGAGCCAAGGTAAATCTCCTCTAAGCATGAACAGATTTTTGTGAAAAAAAGGCTCATTACTGGTGTGGTATATGGTATATGGTATGTCACAAATCAAGAATATGACACAGACAGTATATATGGTATTACTTTTTTCAATTAGGGTGAGAAAGGGGATCCAGGACTCATGGGATTACCAGGACTGAGGGGACCACCAGGGACAAAGGTTAGTCACAATTTCACAGCATCATGCAAACAATCATGTTGGACTCGTGTTGGATTTCCTTCTGTCTGATCTGCTGTTGCATTCCTCATCCGTCTTTTCAGGGTTTACCTGGTTACAAAGGAGAAAAGGTAAGTTCAGAATCCCATGTTTTATAGTAACTGCTTGTTACTACTAAACTATTATATCCCACATTTCACCTTTACCTTTTCTTTTTTAAAAGGGGGCTCATGGAGACTCAGGGTCAGCAGGACCAAAAGGCGATAAGGTTTGAGAGAAATGTTTCTTATATGGTCCTCATCATTTGATTAGGTAGTGGAATCGTCTTCAATAGCTTCTTCAAGTATTGATTGGAATCCAAAGTGGTTCATGAGACACCGTCTTTCAGGTCTTTACATTTTGAGCTGTTTTAATAAACGGTCAGCCTCAGAGCCAGATTATATGAACATTAAACACTTTATGAGTTCCTGCTCTGCTGAGGGAAGGACTTCTCTCATGTCAGGCTCCCATTTTGTCTCTATTTAGGGTTCCATTGGCTTGCCTGGGATGCTTGGCCAAAAGGTAAGATATATTTAATAATGACTGATTGATTCATTTAATCTGATTATTGCTTAATTTTGCTTTTCTCCCAGGGTGAGCAGGGACCAAAGGGAGAACCAGGAGTCTCAGGGAAGAGAGGACCGACTGGGCGGCCTGGGAAGAGAGGCAAACAGGTGAGGGAAAGACACAGAAGAATAGTAGACAAGAGCACAAGGTTGTTGTCTCCCTCTAAATTATATTCATTGCATGTGTGTATTTGACATGTAGTAGGCCAGGGCTTGCATGTAAGATGCATGTTGGCATCGGATTTTTCACACATCTTGACAGCATCATTTAAACTTGGTGTGGCCACTGACACATGCTTCTCCTCATTCTATAAACTGAGTCAAAGCTGAAAGCTATGTCCGCTCACGGGCTAATTCTGTCACTGAAGTAACTCAGCTTTACTTCTAGCTCTAAGTTTAGACTTCTGCTGGGGCTGTGGGGCCTTTGGCGTCTTAGTCTTCTCAGCCTACACATTTATATATGCACGTACACACGCCCATTTCCCCAGATTATCACAGCTATGCACAAGTGGCAGTGGCATGTAGGTCACCTTCAGTGTGTGTGTGTGTGTGTCTGCCTGTGTGTATTTTCTAATACAGTAATGTTTCCTGGTTTGCACAGGGCGTGAAGGGCCAGACTGGAGGCCCAGGAGTCATGGGCCCCCAAGGTCCCCCAGGTCCAAACGGTCAGCCTGGGCCACCTGGTCCACCTGCCTCAGGTAACTCATACACATCAAATACACACTCATACACAATTACCCTCAGTTTGCTATTGATATAATATCAAAGTAAGGCGCAGGCATGTGTGTGTTACCCACCCTCCTTTGTATGACATGTATGTTTTTCTTGCAGGTCTCTATCTAGTGGGGGAAAAGGGAGAGAAGGGTCTCCCAGGTCCGCCAGGTCAATGTGACTGTGACACCAAGCTTGGAGCTAATAATGCTCCTTTTGGAAGCTACACACAAAGAAGTGGCCCCAATAAAGTCCCTGCAGTAAGACCCTGTTCCTTCACTATAAGTTCCTTTACCATCCAAAATGAATGTGTGTCATTACTGAATGAATCACAAACTCATCAGCCGTCATTGTTTGCTCGTAGATATTTGTGGTCAACAGTGAGGAGGAGATGGGCCGTCTTCATATGGACAATGCAATAGCATTCAGGAAGGATCAGAGGATGCTGTACTTTAAAGATAAAGATGGATGGAAGCCCATACAGGTAACACCTATTACAGTGTTATGTGATTGCAATACTGAGCTGTAACTCTATATATATTGTAACTGCTGGTGGTGGAAGCTGTAATATTTCAGACATTGGCTGCAACATTTACAGAGCACAACTTTGCATCAAGGCTAAAACTGTGCTAAATTTGAGCATGAAAGTGTATTTTTGAACTCGCAAACAGTAATTAATAATTTAAAAATCTCAACTCAAGGTCCACCTTCTAGCTTTTTACATCACATTTTCACAGTAGATGGAGTTTGCTCATGGAGATGGCTCCGTTGTAAAAACTAGCTGGTCATAATATGGGTATACTATGAGTTTAAAGCTCTTGAAAAAGCTAATAAATGTCTGCTACTACTAAATGTACCAGGTAACATAAACCTTTCCCACCTACTTAAGTCTAGTTTTAGCCTGGATGCCTTGACATCTTTTCACCCGCAAACCTCAAAACCTCAGTGTCTAGCATCTCTGTGTACCTGAAATGTCAAGTCAACGCTTGTTTTCTCCTTTACAATTCATCTAGCCCTTCCAGCCGTTCCAGTCCACAGAGAAAGTCCCAGACAGAGTAGGTGTGTGTGGGGACGGAAAGGTGCAGCCCCAGCATGGAGAGGAGTGTGACGATGGAAACCAGATTGTCACTGACGCTTGCCTGAGTGAGTTACATCCTTCCCGTGCTCATCCATAAACACATGCCCAGCTATGTAAAGATAAAGACAGATGGTTAAAGAATGATCTGCAGGCAGTGATTGTAGTGATGCAGGCAATTTTAAGCTGCTTTTAAAAGACCCTATTATATGTTATTCTAAAAATTCTTAACTACAAAGTAGGTTAGGCTTTTTGCTGCACAAACATCATGCTGTCATATACACAGTTGCTCATGAGATGCCCTGCAGAGCCTTACTTCAGCACACCACAGAGTCTGAGCTCACATGGCGGAGGATAAAGGCAGTACACAATGTGAAACCTTTGCTTGATCTTTCATTAATCTCTCCCTCTCTTTTCCTGCCATCCTCTCACTACTCTCTTCTTGGCTGTTCAATTAAATTAGCAAGAAAATGCTGTATTGGCATCACTGAAACACACAGGAGTGCCAAAGCAATTAGTAATGTCTTCCCTCTCCCTTCTCTCCCTTGCTCTCTCTTACGTCTGCCACAACACTCTCCTCATCTCCTTCCCTCCCGTCATTTCAGACTGTAAGTGGGCCTACTGTGGGGATGGCTACCGACATGAAGGCATGGAGGAGTGCGATGGGAAGGACTTTGGTTATCAGACCTGCAAATCCTATCTTCCTGGGTATGCTCAGTCACAGCTGTCAGAGTGGATACATAAACATACACTAAGTGTCCATTTACTTGGGTACACCTTGCTACTGTAGGTCAGCATTTCACAGAGATCTTCTATGCCAAGATAGCACAATGCGGTTCCTTTTTAATCAGCACCATATTTATACTGCGCCCATCTGGGGATTGTAAAGGTCACTTCAATGAACTACTGTACTTTTACTGCAATGTCTCTGAAGCTATGTCCCAGCACTAGTTATCGCACAATGTTTTAGATGTTTAAATCTCTGTATGTTTTAAAGTTATGTTTTGAGATGTAGTTTGACACGTTGAGAAATACACATATGCTTAATTGCTGAGAGCTAGATGATGTCCAGAAGTAAAAATAAACAAATCTGCCTTTTTTATATCTCACTCCAGCTCAAGCACATAACTCCCGGTAAAAAAATAAAAACAAAATATAACTTGTTTGTTTATTCTGTATTAAACTGAAGTGCAAAAATGGCATCTCCCCATTTTACAAGGGGTTATGTGCTAGACTGTCTCTTGGCATTCACTAACTTACTGGAAGAGCTGAGCTAGCCGTTTCTCCCTCTTTTCAGTGTTTATGCTAAGCTGAGCTAAACAGCTGTTGACTCCAGCTATGTATTTATCATACGGACATGAGAGTCGCACTAAATCTTCTTATCTAACTCTTGGCAAGAAAGCAAATACGTATATTTCCTAAATGTTGACCTATTAATTCAGATAAGAACTAATTGTAGAAACTGGGAGGCGTACTGCATAACCTGGGTAGATACAGAGTTTGACTATAGGTATACACTTAATGCAATAATTGCACTTGTTATAAGTCATTTTCCATGTCTTCTGCAGATCCTTTGGGCAGCTCCGATGCACCGACTCTTGCCTCATTGATTCCACTGGCTGCAAGTACTTCACCTGAATTGATAAGTTACAAAACAACAACTTTGCAATTCCTCTTTCTGATCACGGGGATTACACTTCAGATTGCTATTGAAGTCTCACCCCTTAAAAAATAAGTGATGGACTGAGAGTGAACTTAAGGGAGGCTCTTGTGGTTGCTCTGAGCCATGAATAGTCATGGGAGCCAACTTTGAATCGACTGCCCCCCCCCCCCCCCGGAGGTTTATCTCTTTTACTGGCCTCAGAGAGCAGCTCCTTGCTACTGTCACACCATTGGCTGCAGCACTGTTATGAACACTGATGGTGGGAAACATTTAACGAAACATTTAATGATTGTAACAAATGAAATAGTTACAATGTGTATGACTTGCTGACTGTTAATGCAGAAATAAGCTGTGTTCTGAACTTCTTTTGTAGTGAGAGAAAAAAACAGCCTTTTCCAAAAGAGGCAGAGATATTATTGATACAATATGTACTGTAGTATGCAAATCAGGGGTGTGTAAATGTGTTTATTTCTGTGCACTGTGTTAGAAAACATATATTTATGTAGTGCAGTGCTGTGATATTGCATGTAAATGTGTTTCGGTGCACAGCAGACTGCTTTAACCGGTGCTGTAAATGTAGTAGCCAAAGTGTGGACCTCTAGAAATGAATGTCCAAATAATCCGACAGGAGGAAAATGAATGTCATACTGCAACAACAGCAAAAAAAAATACCTTTGATTATTTTGGCAGCATGAAGAAACTGTTCTATTACATTAAGATGACTCCAAATGAAGTCAGGAAAATGTGATTAATCTGCCTGCATGACTGTAAATTTCATAAAACACTGTACACTAATAAAGATTAGGTCTACACCTCAAGAGTCCTCATTCAGCTGATACCAAATGGGGACTGTAAGTGGGAGTGTCTGTGGGCGGGGTTAAAGAGGAAAAGCAACCAATTAGAGGAAACGGCTCTGCATCAACTTGTATGATGAAACGTCACTGCCACGTAGAGGGCCAGCTGCACACCTCGATTCTGGGTTTGCACCTTTGTAACAAACTTTTTTAGCTTTCTGTGCGTTTATCCTGTTGTTTCTCCTGAACGCTGAGTGTGACGGCATGCTGCTGACCGTGTTGAGCTGGCTCTGCTCCTCCCTGCTGGCGTCTGTCAGCGGGGGAAAGCTGCCTGAAGCTGAGGTAAACATAGAAGTTATGTACAGACCTTTTCTCTGCCACCGCAAGTCAAAATATGGAGACATCCTGCTGGTGCATCATGAGGGATACTTTGATAATGGAACCATGTTTCACTCGAGGTATGTTTGACAGTCTTACAACCCGTTGTTTTCGTGGAAGTAGTCTGGTATTATTCGTCTTCCTCAGTCTGAAAAATGCGAGCTATTGAATTCATCAAAGTTAGATATTAAATTGTTTTTTAAAATCAGTGACACTGCTTGTTTTCATATCAGTGCGCGCGTGTAATGAATCTCCTTGGTTACGCTGCTACCTATGGTCACGTGATACAACAATGTAAAAGGTCGGGCGGTTTTGAGATATAAACTTCTTCCTACCATCCACCAGTCGAGCCCAGGGTGACAAGCAGCCAATGTGGTTCACACTGGGCATCAGAGAGGCGATCCAAGGCTGGGATAAAGGTCTGCAGGACATGTGCGCTGGAGAGAAGAGGAAACTGGTCATACCTCCAGCCCTGGCCTATGGGAAGGAAGGGAAAGGTACTGTAGTGTTGTGTCCATATGCATGCACACCGGACTGCATGCTGTTATTCAGATACATTGCACTCTCTTCTTAGAAATGCTTGTGGTTGTAAACAATATGTGATATAAATATATTATGCATGTTTATATGTAAATCTGTCTTGTTCTGAATGGCTTTTTAGGACTCCCACACTGAATGAAGGTTTCATTCAGTAATATTAGTCCATTTTTTCTCAACTTGGAGCATGTGAACTTTAGTATGCCTTGTCCTGGTAAGCACACACCACATTAACCAATATTATCTTGTCTCTTCTGCACCTTTGTTACCTTTGCTATGAGAACAAAAACTGAGTGATGTATAACATGACTTACAACTTAATTCAAGCTTACCTCTCACATATTTAAGAGCAAATGACCATGACACATGTTTATGGAATCCTTAGACTGGATCTAGTCTCGGATTTAGTTGACCTTTTGTCCTGTGGTCTTATCCTCTAACAGGTAAGATCCCACCTGAAAGCACATTGACCTTCATCATCGAGGTGCTTGAGATCAGAAATGGACCAAGATCGCATGAGTCCTTCCAGGAGATGGACCTCAACGATGACTGGAAACTCTCCAAACATGAGGTATAGACAAGAATTGCATTATGTCATGTCCTCAGCAAACACTTTGACTTTAAGTAAAAGGATCTGCAAGAAACTGTACATAATCACAGATCTCAATACTATGGCAAAAATATTTTTAGATCAAGATCCATACATTTTTTCCTGAGAAATTTGATGAAAATGTCAAACAATGCCCTCTTTCACATTGTTAAAGAAAGAGATTAAATATGTCTTGATCCACCTCTTTAACTGGATCCACACCAAAAGTTAATGGGTTCTTCCCTGGATCAGTAGTTTTTGCAACAAACCAACAGACACAAGTCAAAACATAACCTCCTTGATGGAGGTAATAACTAGACCAGATATTTATATATATGCCAAACATAATTACTAACTGTAGTTGAAACAGAAGATCAGCATGGACTGTCAGTCATTAAACATCTTCTATAAAGTCAAATTGGAAGTTTTAAGGAAATGTCAAGACATGAGAAAATAAGATGCAAAAGCATTAAAAGTAATATCCTAAAAATAGAAGTAATCTGCAGGTAAATTGTTTTATAGAGATATTATTGAATTGGACCAAACTGTAGATGCCTGAGTTAAAAATTTAGTATTCCCTATTTCACAAAGTCATTTCTTTATCCTGTATTCTAAGGACATAACTGGATTTGTCTCCACATAGTACAAAAGTTGTTTTTGTTACAAATCGTCATCAAATTGAAGTCTGTCTGTCCTGCTCTTACTCGATCTGCCAGGTCAAAGAATACCTGAGGAAGGAGTTTGAGCGTCATGGCTACCCTCCCAACGACACGCTACATGAGAACATGGTGGAGGATATCTTTGCCAAAGAGGATGAGAACAAAGACGGATTCATATCCTCCAGAGAGTTCACTTACAAGCATGATGAACTTTAAAGTCTCACTGATTCACTTTGGTGCAGGGTTTATTGCAAAGATTCTCTCAGGTCATCTTTTTATAGAAGCTTTGTGTTTGCTTGCCTAAAGCTGTGTGTAGTGGGTTTTGAGCCAGTGAGTTTGTTAGTTTGCTACTTTTAGTGATATTTCACCTCAGCAAATCTTTGCCTTTTTGTGTGTTTACTTCCTTGAGTAGCAAACAACCAAGTTTTCACCTTTTGTGACCACTGTCATCTTGACATCTCTAACTTAACAGCCTTGAATTCTTCCTATACCAAAAGGTAGACGGTAACATTCCACTCATCTTGCATATAACTTTTCAAGACTGTATTTGGATTTTTAGCAGTTCAGTGTATATGAGGTTCCCTCAAGGGAAATCTAATGTTTGTTTCTTTTATAAAATATTCCCAGATTTATGCAATTTAACATTTATAGGTACATTTTGAAAGAAAAGGGTACTTGATCATCCTCATGTTTTATTATATTAACTAAACTATGTGTAGATATTTTTCATTTTTTATTAAGCAATAAACAAGGACTTTTCAGGGTATAATTGGCTTTCTTCATAACGGATATTATGACTCTCAGCAGGACAAGCAGGTGCAACTGATGACATTAAAGCTCCATTCAATTCAATTGGTCCCAGTCATTTGCTATGCACAATACTGAGGCTGTGGGCCTGCTATTATTATTGTTATTAGACTTCACACCTGTGAAGTCAGACTATCCGTGAGAAAGGTTCATTGCTCATGCATACACTGTAGTGTCAGTGCTGAAAGGATATACTGTTCAGTTCTGATCCATTACATCAATGTATGTGCAGTTTTATCCTAATTTTCAAACTCGCATAAATAAATGCCCCAGAAAACAATCACGTGAAGGGACGGGGGTAAATGTACCTGTTACTTTTCACAGTGTGCTGGAGGTTGTATTGAGATATTGTACATGAATCTTTAACTAGAAAATGTTCCTGCAGTGCTGTGTAGAATCCAGACCATCCTGTTTCTACAGCTTTGAGTTTTGCTTCTTTCATGTGGACGTGTCAAGACTTATTTCAATAAGCAAATGACTTTGCAGATTAGTTTCTGTCGTAAAATAATATATTGACTGTCGACTTTTTAAAACAAAATGCAGTGGTGTATTTGTGACATACCTTGTAATACATTACACATTGAACCAGCAGGTGGCACTGTCTTCACAGGTGTTAGCATTAGTTACTACAGTGGGAGACAGGAAATGCTATACCTCACTCATTATCAATTTATAAAAGACAACACCTGTGTAACTTAAAACAGATGCATTCCCATACTCTTCACAATGTAAGTCATTTTCACATCACATTTGTTTTTACATTTTTGTAGATCATTTTGGTACTTAGAAACCAGTCACATAAACACACATGAGCACCACTATACTGTATGCACAATTATTTATGACCCCCCCACAGTTAGCATACCCTGCTGTGCGAGTGAATAGTGAAAACTGTTCACTTGCAATGCCGTTTTCACAGTGAGTTTTAAATTGAAATTAGGCTGACTTGTTGGCTCTATAGGAGGAAAACATACAGATACAGAAAGAATCATTTTGCTCAAGCATTAAAGCATCAGTTTTAAAATTTAGCATTATTAGAGTATGTTGTTACGCATTCATACAAGTGCTAATGGAGCATCACCTTGTACAGAGGTTGTTGCTGGGTGACCTTTTTCATACATCTGTCTTTAAAGGAGCTGTACTATTTTAAAACCAGGTGTTTAATAATGTTTGTGGGTTTACTTCCGACTTTAAAAGTGCTACTGTATGTATCAAGACAAATTGATAACTCTCAAGACATAAAATCAGAATTTTCTATTCCGTATGTAGATACTGAAATGCTTAGGCTGTTAAAAACTGTGTCAAGAGCCTTGTTAAATATAGCTACTGGAAGACACTGTCCTTGGAGTGTGTGTGTGTGTGTAGAGTCTGTCTGCAGCTTATGAGTATGAGTAGGGAGAGCCATCCTCCTCCACACACACATTCAAAACATTCCACACTGGAAAAGGTCAGAGGTCACATAGTCAGTATAAGGCGGGAGCCTGTTTGACACTCGCATACTGTATCACATACTTATACACTGAACACAAACAAATCACACATAGGGCTTGCATCCAAATAAGTCCATGGCAATTATGTGATTGTCATGAGCTGTCACAAGAACAAAGTGGAACACAGAGTCTTTTAGCTGTGTGTGTGGGGGACGAAGAACAGGGTGAGGCCTGACTCATCTGAGGTGTGTCCTGATCCCAGGTGGTTTGGGGTTCACTGCGAGAGGAGGAAAGATGATATTAAAAGACAACTCAATAGAGGAAACAGAAGTCATGGGTGAAGTTGGTGCTGGGCTGCTACCTCTGCTTTCTTTGCTGGGGTAGATCCGAGGGAAAGGCTTGAATTCATCAGGAGGAGGTAAATCCTCAACAGGGTGGAACTGGAATTTGGATTCAAAATCATCTGCCAGAGCAGAGTGAAGATACAGTGAGATAGTTAGATAGTTTATGTAAGACACTTTTATCTTGCGAACTTCTTGTTGTGGGAAAATGTTGAGTCTCACCCAGGCTGTGCAGGTGTCCATTCCTAAGACTGGATGGGGGCAGCGGAGGTGGAGGGGGAGGGGGAGGAATGCGGGTGGACAACTCAGTGGTGGGAGAACGTGCCGGAGGAGCTGGAGGAGGAGCCAGCCGGCCCACACCTGTCATGGGGGGTGGTGAGAGGAGACATCAGCAATCAAAGTGACAACATAAAAACCAGATCTGATGTGCTCGTCTCTAATGCCAACTTAGACAACAAGGCCACAGTGTTTTTACTGAGAGAAACAGCATTGATTTTTATATGTTGCTAAAAAACTACAGAGTTACACAACACATACTCTATTTGATTTAATGACTACCTGCAGCAGCTGCCACAGTTTCAAACCTGTACTTTCTTGATAGTTTCAGACACAGAAAAACAGCAACAAAGCTACAATTACTCAAAACTATTTCTACTCTGTTTCTCATAAACATTTGGTGTAGAGTCACGTCTTTGTTTTTGTGTCATATTTTTGTACATTGTCTTACATGATTATATAGCTAGATTATTTTAAATCTTGCAGTTATTGCTAAATAAGTTTCTCTCCAGGTTTAAGCTTGGTTTACAGGAGCTATTTGTAAGTTTAGCTATTGCTACAAAGCCAACATTAACATTAACAGCTATTTACTTACCAGTCTTGCCAAGAGCTTCAGTCATCATTTCATTTTTAATACAAAATGTTATAATGCGTTCTCTGAGTGCTACTTCTTCAGGGCCAGACTGGACACTAAAGTGACTCGGTATCGGAAATTGATAAGATGGTCCAGCCCAGACTGGAACTAACTGATTAGCATGCTAACTTCAGTAGATACAGTTTGATACAGTTTTTGTGCCCGTAAAGGAAGTTTGATGGTGAATTCACAATGTTTTTTTCTAGACTGGTAAGTAAACCGCTGTTAAAGCTAATGTTGGCTATGTAGCAATAACGAAACTCACAAATATCTAACATAACCACCATTATTTGTCAGGTTGGCCTCATTTTACTAGCAATGCTTATGTGTTTGAGTATGAGTCAAAAACATATCACATAACCATACTTAACCAGAAGATGTTGTGCAGAAAAGTTATTGGAAAGAAAAGGAGAAGTGTCCACCTACCTGCACTTCTAGGCACAGCAGGTGGCCGTCGCGTGGGAGCATTGCAGGGGTATGATGGTGGCAGAGAGCGCATGGCTGGGGACGGTACTGGGGCCATCTTGGGCGGTGGTGGAGGAAGGGTGGATGGGCAGGTGGGGGTGAAAGAAGCCGGGAGAGGGGGAGGAGGAGGTGGGGGAGGAGGTCCCAGAGGGCTGTCCCGCAGGATTGGGAACCTAGAAGGTTCAGAGTGGACCGGAGAGGGGGGCAGAGGAAAGAAGCATCCTGAGGAGCGGTCCCCTGGGATGGAGGAGGAAGGTTGGAAAGGTGGAGGAGGAGGAGGAGGGGTCGGAGTAGAGGGCTGGGACATGGTGGTGTGGTGGGAGTGCTGGATGGGGAGCCAGGTGGGCTTGGTCACCTGAGATGGAGGTGGAGGGGGAGGGCAGGAGGGGAGAGGCGGAGGCCTGTTGGCTGGACGGTCCATGAAGGCTTGAGGTGGGGGAGGCGGAGGAGGAGCAGAGGGATGGGCAGGGGGAGTTGGAGGAGGAGAGGAAGCAGCGAAAGGAGGTGGGTGCCTGCTGCCATGAGAGGGAGAGGGAGGAGCAGAGGATGAAGGAGCAAATGTCCTGTGGGCGGAGCTCCGGTGCTCCGCCGTCCTGTGAGGCTCGGGGACGCTGCTTGTGTCTGGTGACATGGGTGGGTTCCACAGCGGCTTCAGGGACACTGATGAGCTCGAGCGAGACACTTTACCACACACATGAATGAGAGGAGTCATTGGGATGGTCACATTAACCAGAGACAGTTACTGAAAATACACACATCTGGTAAGAAGAAGACATTTTGCACCAACCTGGAGTCTTGCCTGCTAAGTCTCTTTGTCCTATAGGTCTGAGAGTAGGAAACCCTCCAGCAAATAGCCCACCCAAAGAGGGTCCCATGGGTGCCATCCCTCCTGATGAACCCTGAGAAGCACCAACGCTGCTGGATACATCTCCAGTGCTGGTCTTAGGTTCTGGGGAAAAACAAACATTCAAATACGTGACAGGTGAGTATCAATCACAGGACAAAAAAACATACATTAATCAACTCTGATCATGGAAGGTTATACATATTTAATTACTCACTCATTCACTTACTGATTGATTCATTCAGAAGAAGTGAGAAATGTGCATGTGCTCTGTGGTTTTTTTTGATCGTGAGAATTTAGTTGTTTATTTTTGTTGTTCATTCAGGAAAGAAAACAACATTAAGATAATCAAAGTAATGGGTCAGGCAGGAACATGAGTAAAGTTTGCCCCACCCAAATCGCCTGGTCTCCCAGAGGGCCAACAGAGTGGTCTGTTTCCATTGGTCTGGCTCCATACACTTACTGTAACTGACATTGTTACTGTTAACTGCTATTTACTGACCAACAGGTGCCACTGACCGCCATCCAGGCCTTCAGCTGTGTACGTTAAGCTGATTCACTGACTAACTGAATGGACATATCCCTAAAAGTTTCTATAATACACTGGTCGCCCATACGTCAGCTATCTAGTCACTAAACAGTAGAGTTTGGGAGTTGTGAGTCATTTACCAAAGTAGTAGTATGATATGAATGTTTGTGACTAAATTTTCACCAACCATAATATTCAATGTAATCTTTAACCTCACAGTTTGAATTTTAAGTTGATTGTATCCACAGGGGAAATGTGTCTTTTACAATCTACAAACTTTAAAATGAAAAAATTGAACAGGTTAGACATCACATGCTACAGAACTTCCCTGTCTTTCTTTGTTAAGCTTATGATATACTGGGGACACAATGCATGTCGTGTCTATTGTGTTTGCCACTGTATACAGTGGTTTCCTACTTGTCTGCATCCTTATCTGCTATAGGGCATTCCTTCCTGAAGTGTGCACTGGACTGCGTGTGTGTGTTTGTGTGAGAGACACAACATGTTCCCTGGGAACTAAAAACTATCTTCTCACCTCCCATTTTTTTCTGTTCCATCTTTCTCTCATTTCTTATTTCTTCTTCTTATCTGCTTTCACTCCGATACATCACAGAATTGCTTCTACACATTATTAAACTCGATGTGTTTCCACTATGAGAGTGGATGAGTAAGTGATACTCAGCAGCATGTGAGTACCATTAAGTGTCTGAACACACAGCCTGTGTGTGACAGACAGTGTGTCCGTAAATGTTCTGGTAGGACGCTAAGGTTGTTTCTCTTACTATCGACAACAGGGGCACTGCGGTCGTTGACCTGTGTGACTTTCCTAAGTCTGGTTCCTTTCTGGATGTCGGCCAAGAGGGCATTCCTTCCTCCTCCTCCTCCTCCTCCTCCTCCACCAGCAGACTGGAGCTTAGGAAGCTCAGACGGACACTGTCACACGGACAAAAAAACAGCACTTTTATATAACTTTGACCAGTGCTTTTACAGTAGAATTTATGTATTATATCTAACCAGCAGAGCACAATCACGCCCCCCAAACTAAGTATTAATGGGTCAACAGAGGATTAATCAGCAACTATTCTGTGTCTGTTAGATATACAGTATATAATCTTTTTACATAATGAAGGAATACAGTATGTCATCAGCCCCTTGGCTTCACCTCATCTCTTCTAACAAACAGATACAAACAAGAAGGCGCAGTGAAAGCAAAGACAAGGATAAGAGAAGTAGGGGAAGACATTGAAATTGAGGGAAGGAGAAGAGAAACAGGAGGGAAGAGGGTAATCTTAGGTTACTGTTTCTCTCATAATCCACTGTGACTTCATATTAGTGCTTCATCTAAGAGCTGCTGAACTGTGTATCTGCAGTGTGGCCTTGTTTGCTGGCAGCAGGAGCTCAACTAACATGAGCCCGCTGTGGAAACATAACACTCTTCTGCTACTGAGAGTCTGCTGTCTGTCTGTCTGTCTGTGTGTGTGTGTGTGTGTGTGTGTGTGTGTGTGTGTGTGTGTGTGTGTGTGTGTGTGTGTGTGTGTGTGTGTGTGTATTTGTGTGTACGTGCCTGTGGGTGTGTGTGTGTGCACACTACCTCAATCAATAATGCAAATAACCCCCTCCAGGTGTTTGGTTGATGGTTAGTGAGAAGGACACAAGTGAGTGTTTACCACTGCATGAGAGAGAGTTAGAGAGAGACAAACACACAGTCTTACCTGTGGCAGGGCAGCGCAGGGAGGCGGTGGAGGTGGAGGGGCCGCTGGGGGAGGTGGAGGGGGTGGAGGGGGGGCCGGCATGCCTGGGCCTCAGATACCTGCAGAAGACAATGCACACCCTATAACGGGATACAAGCATAGTCACCATCCAATTCATGCACCGCAGCCACTGGACCAGCTTCTAGGGTTTTTTTCCTCCTCCATGTCAGAGGCTGCTACTGTGCAAAGGGATACACTCGATGACCTCCTACCCTCCTCTTCGAACAGGAAGAGCTTTCACCACTGTACAGCACAAAACAGGAAGAAGCAAGCGCTCCATCCTTTCCAGAGAAATCTGAAACATCCCCCATCCCGTGTCCTCCTCTTCTTCCCACAATGCTCTGTGGCAGGACTTTGGAGAAGAACAATGGTTCTTGTTGTGTGAAAAGTAATAGACCCCTGCCCTTGAGTCACTCAATGACCAAAGGCCTTCGCTGCTATATGTGAGTGGAAAACACATTAAGGAAAGGAGACAGGAAAATGCTAGAGTGCGCAAACACATTCTTCTTTACTCTTATACTGAACATGTAACTATGTGCAGGATGCGTTCAAGAGCAACTGGTTTAATAATCAAAGTGAGAAGCACCCGTGTCCATTACAACGACTTTCCAGGATTATGTCAACACATTTCAATCTCCACACGTTGTTGGCAACTGGGCCAGTAAATGATCCTTAGTGACAGTCACTGAGACCTCCACCCAGCTTCGTGACATCATAAATTCTCAACAATCTATGGGTGAAAGACAGAAAACAGCTCGAGGTTTCTGCACAATCAGCTCTCTGTGGAATTTGCACATGATCCTCATCAGAAATTTAATAAAACACAGAGCAGAACCTGTTTTTGTTGAACCTCTATGTATCTGTCCCTCTTCTCTTAATCTATTTGTGCAAAGCTCATGCGTTATGTTTCCCTCTATGCAACTGGCAGACTGTCCTTCATTGCTATTTCTGTCTTCATATCTGTGTCAGGCAGCCTCTGTGACACTGCCAGCGTAGATGTATAAAGGGGGCAACGCTGGACACTGGTTAGCCGAGCTCCTGCAGAACAGGTGGGACACAGTGGAAATGCACCTCTCCCACACCAGTTGCTGTTTTCATTGACCTGTAATACGTCTTGTTCATCCTGAAGCAAAGAAGATCTAAAGTGACACAGACAGGCAGCTGGACCTGGCAGCTGTTGCAGCCATAACAAGGGATTCTCACACTTTTTGAGTCAAATACATGCAACAAAGGCTGCTTACATGAGACCACAGACCCCAAGGGTTTCTACAGTGTGAATCAGTGGAAAAGGTTGTAACTATATTTTCTGACTGGGGTCCATGTCTCAGACGTCCTCAACAGAAAATGACACATTATTTCTGTCGGGGGTCTCACAGACATGTCACAGACGGTCATGGTTAAATACAATAGATTTTCATCTGGCAAATAAAATAATATATTTTCTGTTCATTTTTATAATGTTTAAAACTTAAAATATACTTCTTTGATAAAGTTAACAATACCTGATGCTCCTAATTTTTTGCCTCTATAAGCTCAGTTTGTAGTTAAGTGGAAAAAACAAAAATGTTAACAGGACAAAGTGGTTCATTTTGCTATTATTAGTTTGAAGCTTTGTTTGTTTGTCTATAGGGGTCTATAGGAATCCCAAACAATGATGAATTAACTAGCCATCCTCCTGATATATTTTTGTCTTTTTTCTTTTTTCTTGCTAAACTTGCACAAAAATGCTAAATACTAAAAATGAATCTGTTATGGCATGACTGCTTTTTGTTTTCCCCTACTAAAATCCACCTGAGAGACACACTGGCAGGTAAAAAATTAGTAATTGTATCATGACTTTGGATAGACAGTAACAAAGAAAAGGTGCAGGAACAAACGCAGTTCATCTGCTGTAAACGGTTCTCTAAAAAAAAAAACTAAGTGTATCTGTTGTTATTGATTCTTTGTGGTATTTTATAAGAATAAAAAAGAGGAAAAGCGGCTATAACAACCTTTCAATCATATGTCTGCTTGTTAATTAGTCCATCGTTACGGTTATATTCGGCTTACCTTCAGAAAATACCAGTAATCCACCTGTTAGCGGGGAAAGCCTCAGTGAGATACTGCCCTCATAGTGCGCTTCTCATAGCGGGTCAGTGCGAAAGTTTCCAAGATATTTTTAGTCAAATGAGGACACCGCTTCTCCAACGTCTGAGCTGCCAATAACTAAACCATGAGGAGCTCCTGTAAACATATGAAAACACTGCAGGAAGCTTTTTGTGTCCACATAGCAGACGCTGAAAACATGCAGCTGTGGTTCGGCACAATGGTCTCTTTATGGGTCTGGCTGTTTACGGTTTATTCCCCCTGTGAGTGCACTGCAGGAGGCGCACACAGTGCAAGGCCACACCTTAACGCCCCATAGGCTACTCCACACGGGACCAATAGAGAGAGAGAGAGGGAGGCAGGACGCTTGGCTCAGTGTCATCCCCTCAGCCCATGCTGAAGTTGCCAACAAACTTTCCCTCACCTTGAATCACACCTGTGGATTAAAACAAACATTTTGCGTGTGTGAGACCTGGTTCTGACTTAGTGCTGAAGACGTCTGTAGAGCGTCTCTGTAACAACATCTTACTGGATGGATTTTCTCTTCTCAACTCGGTATATTTTAGTTCTATTCAACTCTATCTTTTGGCTGCATGCTGGCACATTTCCGCCCCCCTGTGTTGAGAATATGACATTACAGGTTGCCCTTTCAATTCCAAAGAAACTAGTGCCATGTGTTTCACCTATTGCACCATAATTATAGAGCTGCTATGATAACGACAATGCATTAAATTTGACAATGACAATGTGGTTTCATAATCATATAGGGTGTGCATCAGTCGTAAGCTTCTTGTATTAACACCAATGGTGCAGGCAAACACACACACACACACACACACACACACACACACCTCAAACAGCAACAGTGATTGAGGAATGCAGTGACACAGGCGTGCTCCTCCCTTTTAAAAGACAGAACAAGATAATTTACGACTGGCTGTGAAATGCACTTTAGATGCTATATGTAAATGGCACTAATTTCTTGTAATTGCCTTTTTCACTCATCACACATTTGACCCACTTGTTCTCCCCGCCTGAGTGATGACCAGGCAGTAACACGGCTGCCAAGAGAAGTCGTACGACTCTTGGGAATATTGTGTCTTGCGCTTTCGGATCATGCATTGTATTAAATGAGGCACATTTTCTTTTTATGTAACTTTTTGTAAATCTCCCAAGAGGGACGCCACAAAGCTTGTCCCTGCCCTGGCGGCTGATGATAATGAAGCACAAATGCACGTACGCACACTCATAGGATTGATTGTAGCAGTTATCAGATTTATTTCACAGGTGATCCAAAATACAGTAGTCCTGTAAAGCAAACTACATCAGTGGTTGGATCACACTTCCTTAGCTACATGGCCACATCTCCTTCAAGTTAAACACGACATTAACTTCTTACTTCAATATCAGTAGCTTTGTTTAGGACCCATTATGTTATAAAACATGCCGGATTTCTTCCTTCATTTAATGTTTTATGCATTTTGCTGGCAAGTGTTGTGTGTCTGACTCAAAGCTACTCACAAGCATTTCTTAATTTCTTCCACTAGCTGATTTTTTTTTTCCACACTTAATGAAATCATTTACACCTTAATAAAAAAACATCCTTCTATCCTTCTAACCCTTTAGAATCAACATGTTTTTTGTAAAAGCATTGTAAAAGCATTATACTTATCCTTCATTATTAAACATATATTATTCTTATTACAGAAATAATGTAAACATCTTATAAACAATATTTTCTTGAAGCATATATTGCTAGAAAATGACATTCAATGATTGTGCTTTTAAACAGGTTGTAGGTCATTTTATGAGTTGCCCAATGATGACGACAGCGTCCATGACTAAAACTGGGACACTGTGGGACTTAAGCTATACTGGGGCTTTAAGTGCTCACTGCATTACTACTGTATCTCCTCACTTGGGCTTTGATTATGGGATATTGTTCACAAAATGGTTCAAATGGTTCTTTTCGTGTCACCTATCTTTGTTTCTGAGTCTCTCACACACAAGTCTCGGTTTCAATATGTCTTGTACCATATAACCTTATACTTGCAGTTTTAGGCTAAAAGTTGAATGTTCCTTGTCATGTCCATCATCCCCATCACAACCAACATACAGTAGACCTTATGGAAGGCCTCAAGAGTTTCAAGCATCTTCATGTACTCAAATCCCTCTCCTTCTTGTCAAGCATCGTAGTAAAGCAAAGCAGTCTTTGATCTCTCTCATTTTCCTCCTCGTCACCGTATGTCATCTTTCCCTGACGCCGCATTCTCTGTCTCTTTGTCCTGTATAGGAAGGCTCGAGCGCACCCTCCTATTCTCTTTAAATCGACCCGAGCGCGACACCTTCATTTTCCTGCGACACGTCTGCTCGTTGAAGACCGACTCCAGGTGGGAGTCGTCAAAGGTTTCATCACTGAGTAGGCTGGAGTTCTTGCTGGTGCCTTGGGACTGGTCACCAGTGGTCTTGGAGGCAGCTGCGGCGGGTTCTTTTTGCTTCTCCGGATGTGGTGCAAAGGGGTCAAAGTCCGGGCCAAAGGTGTGGGGTGCACCTGCATCCTTGGGGCCACCAGTCTTCCTCTTTTGCAGGAATGCCTTCCACCATGGGGTCCTCTCTGTCATCTTTGACTGGAGGGAGGAAACTGGAACAGAGAACAGAAAACATGAGTATTCAGCTATAAGTATTCAGATGTTCTCGATGACATTTCTTCTATAAGGTCATTGTTTTAGTTGAGTGGACATTGTTGATTTACCTCTTCTCTCACGTCTTTTTATAAAACATAAAATGAATCCCTTTAAAATTAATAATATGGTCATAGTATTAGGATACTGAGAAAAATAAAACATCATCGTCAAATCATCATTGTCATAGCATTCATTGTATTTCATATCTTCATAAATCTGTCTGACTATGACGACTTGCTCTGTCTAATTAAGAAAATGTTTGTGTTATAAAATATCCTGATTTAATTTCACGTTCCTCATAACCATTTTCCACTGGTGAGCCAACTAAACCTATGAATAACTAGTGTAACCATGTTTAGCTTTTCTGTAAAACTGGTTTGGTTTAATGAGTCGTGAGAACAGAAGAACAAACCAGGCCGTGATTCACAGATGAACAATGAGCAAAAAGAAAAAAGAAAAGAAAAAAAAAAAGCACTCAAGAACTCTTACCTGAGCTACAACAGCTGATGTAGACACTTTAAACTAAATCAAAATGTAAATGTCACACTGTTGGTTTTGTCACACACAGTGTACTGAGACATAAATCCACAGGACAGTTCCGTGTCGTCGTCTTCTTCTTCTTCTTCTTCTTCAGTGGTGCAGCTCTCAGAACAATTGTGACAGTCCCTCAAAGGGTCGCACCAGTATCCATTTCATGCACGAACCAGGTGTCCAGACTCCTCACATCTCCCACCTGTGAAAACCTTAATATTTCTTCTCTTCTTCAACTCAAATATCTCTTGTCTTCTTCGGTAATTCTCCAGAAAAGTACATATGAATTGACACATTTATAAGGAGGAGCGGCTTTCGTCTACTGAACCAGCAGGTTTCCGCCTCCGAAACTCTCACCTCGAAGCACCTGTCCTCACTCCTGATTGGATGAAATCTCAGAGTCGGTCACGTGAGCACCGCTCAGGTGAATCTACTGCAGTAAGGGGGGTGGGGTTTGTGGTTGCATGGCAACATACCCCATGGGAGCGTGTACCTCTCCAGTAGCCTAACAGAATAAGAAAAAAAACAGAGCCCTTTGTATCAGCCGAACCCAACCCAAGCCAGGGAACCATATGATCTTACCATTTTTGGACGCCCAGCAGTTTAGGCAACAATGGCTTGTCATGCAAAGAGTGGAATGGGGCAGTGGAAGTTTATTCAGCGATGTTGATGGCATTAATAACCACCGACCAAAACAGGTTGTGCTGAGCAGCATTCAGTTAGGCTAGATGGTTTAAAATGAGACCCTTTGTTGAAATTGCTTATTATTTGGGTTAGGGTTAGGCGACAGGAAGAAGCCAGGAATCTCTTGAAATGACGTTACTGCACAAGACGTGCAATTGTTGTTGTTGTAAATTCACATTAAGTGAGGGGAAGCAGTTTGGCTTGGCGCCAACATCACCTGCTGGGGTACTTGTCACATGTTCACCTTCCGGATGCTTGTCCCAGTACTCTATTTTCATGTCCAACGCTAGTGTCAGTTTCTTTAAGGTTTCACGTAATTTTCATGCCAGTGTGTGTGACTGCCTGATAATTACACATGAGCAGGACACATTAACCATGGCCCATATGAGCTTAATACAGCACGTGATACATCATCAGCAACCTAGTATATGAAGTTACATATATCCATTATAGAGACACACAGATGGCATTTTTGAAAGGTTTTAAAAGACAATACTCAGTTATAATTATAATGACACAGTTAGAAAATGTGTAACAGGTTCTATATCACCCTTATGAGGTAATGTCTAATAAATTAACCATTACATTTTTTTTACTAATGCTCAGTAGATCAGTTACATGCTGGAACCTTTGTTTCGCAAGATTGTGAAAAAAAACCTTAGTAGTTAGCAGTTTCTCACTATCTAATAAGCTGTCATATCTTCAGTCATGCTAAGAAGTACTTAATTAATAAACAATAAACCATAAAGTCTGCAGTAGTGAAAAGCAAAAAAGTGCAAATATTCAAATAGGCTGCTCCATGATGACCGATGCATCGTTAGAAAGTTACACCCAAGCAGTATATTGTACTTATATTTGGCTCCATCTGGACCAGCTACAAGAGTAAAATGCTATTTACACATTAATGCATTAGTAATAACAATCCAGTGATGCATTATTTAAGACTATGACAGTATAGGGGCCACCTTCCTGCATGATAAGTAATTTTACTCTTGATACTTTAAGAACATTGTGCTGATAATGTAATGTAATGTAATGCAAGATTTTTACATGTAATTGAGTATTCCAATGCTTTGTATCATTACTTTCTCTTAAGAAAAGTATCTGAATACTTTTCCCACCAATTAATTAAGTTGTTTGTATGTAATGATTGGCCCTCCTGATGCCCTGTAGCTCTATTCTGAAAAGTGAGCGTTCAAGCAGTCTGTTGGACATGTTCCCATGATTAACTGAAGAGCTAAAAAGACAAAGCAAGACTCATGCAGAATGTACCAGCCAAAATAATTTTATTCTTTTCACATCATGGCAATGTGTTGTTGTGCCTTATGACTGATTGGTAGTTACTAAAACATATAGGCTACTTAACAGTTTGTTAACCATAACAGTGTTAGTTACAATCCTTAGTGTTGTCCCTCATAAAGTGTGCCTAATTCAAAAGTGGTACCGAGTTAAGGAGTTGTATAGATATTTTTTAGCAGTTGTAGGTCAGAGATTGGGTGAATCATTGAATAATTGGTGATATGCATCACAAGATAAATGTGCGTGTATGTTGTGATGACACTTCAAACATTTGCACAAGGCTTTATTACCAAAACTGCATACAGTATAATACACAACATGTAGGGTATATACTGTAGCCTAAATCTGCTAATTCTCTGTAATGAACATTCTCAAGGTATATTCTTAAAAAATCACATTTACCATATGCATTACATGTGTGCAAGATATTTCTGAGAAGTAGAGCAAAAGTTTTAGCAATCTGCACTCTATGTTCATTGACTCGAATTTAAATCCTATCTTAATTCATAGCTGAGGTCATGTACAGTATTACACACATATTAGTGCAGGGTTAAAATGCGTCACAAATGGAATGACCTTTTATTCTTAAACTTTCTTTTGCGTCAAAGCCAAGTTTCAAAGTGTCATTGGATCCTTGTAAATGAGGAAATAACATCTTCTAGACATGACGTTATGCTAAGAAACTCAGTTTCTGTTGTTATGACTTTGTAATCCCTGGCCAAATGGTTTCTGTGTGGGTTGGTGCCAAGAGGGAAGACCAGGTCTGGGCTGTGTAGCAGATACAGATACAGATACAGGCAGAAGCAGAGAGAGGAGGGAGGGATCAGGGAATGCCTTTAGTTTTCCTCTACTGAAGTTTAGAGTGAAAGTTGTTGTGGCAACAGGAATGTTTGCCATTTCTCTCTCTCCCTCCTTCAGGAGGGTGGCCTGAATACCTGGGGGACTCCCTCTCCTGCCAGCCCCCATCCCAGTCGAAACCCCGTCACTCAAACTTATATACACACCTATAAAAATAACTAAGATGGACAAACAATTCATTGTAGACTAAACTATAAACAATAGCTAAATAGACTAAAAAAATGTAAAAAAAAAAAAAAAAAAATTGACCCATACTTTGTGCTGAATACACTGTGCAATGGTGGTAATAATACACTATAATACACTGTACATTAGTGCATGTGGGTGGGTGGAGCTGCACACACTGAAAATGATGCAGATGCAGATTATCACACGGATGATGAATATTCTGAGGCCACAACTAAATCTTATTTTCATTATTGATTAATATGTTGGTTATTTTTCAGATGAATAGATTAATTGTTTAGTCTGTAAAATGTCAGAAAACTGTACAAGCACAAGCTGATGTCTTTGGATCGCTTCTTCTGCCATGTTCACTACTCAACAACAACCCTCATGGATACAGCTTCTTGTGGTCTAAACAACATCATAATCACAGGATGTCATCTTGCTATATCACCTCTCAGGTTTGCTTTGCCTCTCTGATTGTCTTTCCAGTATCTCCAGACTTCCCTACTTCCCTCCCCGTAACACCACAGGTAGTCTCACTGAAAGTTGATCATTAACTTCAGCCACATCAGATAAAGAAAAACATCCATTAAGATAAAGAATCTGAGTATTTGTCCATTGAGACAGAGAGGCATGTGGGGAATGTGTGCAGAAAACTACACAACATTGTCAAGAGATATTGAAACAGTGACAGGGATTTCATTGTGTAATCCACCTGTATCTCTTCCTGTCTGGGAAATGGGTGACTTTACGAATCAACATGAATCAACACTTTTTTTTCACCATGACAACCACACACAGCCATGAGAAAGCACCAGTCCTGATAAAGGATGGAGAGGTTACTTACTCTCAGCCACTGGGTACCTACTCTAAACTGCTGTAGGCACAATCATACATATTTGGACTGTCAAATATAATTTATTAATTTATTGTATTGTAAAGTATTGTATATTTTGATTGATTTAAATCACCTAAATAATTTTTTAAAATATCAATACATTAAGTAAAACTGTCAATTTACAATTTATTATGAGTAGTATTGTATTTGATGATGTCATAATCACTATCAAATCTTAAAGAAGGCCTGATCATGACTTAGCGAGGTCATAAATTGACACACTGAACACATAAAAGTGACTCATTCAGCCATGTATAAATATTTGTGTTCACTCAGATGCGCACAATTCAAAACACACACGCCTTTCTACACATGTCTCTCTTCATGTGATGACGGAAATGTGTTTGCCTTGTGCATGTGCTGTGTGTGTATGAGTCCAGTAGAGTCATTGTGAAATGATAAACCTGAAAATCTCTTTTTGTCATTGTACAGTATTGAACAACAGGTTGAACGAAGGTGTGCTAGTCCTGGGAAAGAGCACAGGATGGCAGCCAGTCAGACTGGTGGAGTCAGCTCACGAAAAAAAAAAAAAAAAAACTTTCAAAGTGAGTGGCTAATGTATCTAAGACTAGTGATGACACATAAATGCAGACCTTTTTTTACTAAACCTCTCAGACAGCACAAACCATTAGGGACCGTTTACCTCACAGATGAACAAATGTATGTATGTTCCAGCTCATGACTGAGGGTGATACAGATCAGCAATAATAGAAAAATTGTAGGCTACTAACTAGACAAACAAACAGTCGCCTTGTCCGGAGCATTTGGTTGGAGCAGGCTGATGTGTGTTGCTTTGAATAAAATGAGTTTTGAGTTATTGCACTGTGCTTTTTGATTTGAGGATCGCATCGTTTGGCAGGTTGCTTTTATAGTCATTACACTGTGAGCAAAGCAGCTGAAACTCATCTGAGCTCCAGCTGTTATTAGCGCCGCAGACGCTAAAGATGAAACCCTCAGGAATGCAGAAAGGAATCTAACACTTACTGGTTATTTTCTTTGTATTTATTGTGTGTTATTCTTAAGTGCTATTCTTATAATAGACAGACAAACAGGACAACACACAGGTATAAAAAAAAAAAAAAAAATACAGCTATGCACACAAACAGGTTTGGATACTGTACCTATGAGTACTTTCCTTTGATTACAAAACCACAACCTTAAACATGCCCTTTAAACCGAAAGTCTGAAGGTCTAAGCTAACCTGTTACAATGCCTTCACTTTGGAGATTTGCCATTATTATGTGACTATTTTCTATTGAATTGCATAAGTGTCAAAATACTACCACAAAGACATATATCAAATACTCAATCCTGAACCTTTTTGGGGACTTTCTGAATTCATTTTTACCACTAAAAACCACAAATTCTGCCAAACGTTCCCCTGAAGTGATTTTAAAGTTAAACATCTTTCAAAATGTAATTGACAACATGGAATGCTGTTCTCTTTATTTTGTTCCAAGACATAACTGAAGCAAAAATGGAACTGAAAGCTTCAGAAAGTAAAAACAAAAGCTTTACTATTCGCAGATTTTATTCCAGCACCCATTTAGATTTAGCTTCACCACCTTAGGTGAGAGTAGGAGGGCAGCCATACATGTCAGCACACACTGCTCCTCATAAAGGCCCCAACATACTGCTTCAGTGCATGATACAAAATTGACTCTCTTCCATACAACTTTAAACCAAAGCAGAATCAGGTACCTTCTTTTTCACACCAGTGTAGATGATCCTGTGCAGGTAAGAAGCTTCAAAACATTCAAAATATTCCCAGGTCTGAATATTTCTACCACCATCTGTTATTTGACCCCAGATGAAGTCTATTTTATTTCAGTAGTTCACTTCTCTGGCTCCCTGTGCAATAAAAATCTATTTCAAACTTCTACTTCACAACACACAAGCAATCATGCAACACAAGAAATGAATTAAAAAAAAAAGAAAAAAAGGGAACAAGGGGAACAAGCTTTGGGATTGTGCATCTATGTTTTCTTCCACTTAGCCAATTAACAGAGCCAAGAGAACAACTTGTTCTTCATCTTTTTTTTTCAAGTTCTGCTGCTCCCAGTGGCTCCGTAATTATCTCTATCTATCTTATGTCTGCAGAGATGAGCTCCTTCCTGGCTTGAACTCGCTCCTCCTCCAGACGCAGCTCCAGCTTTGTTAGCTGTCTTTTTGTCTCTGTTTCCTCACTTTTGGTTTAGATGTTAAAGTTATATGGAGTCCCATCCCCAGGCTTAGTGTTGGCTGCAAAACTCACAGCAGGTTTGAGATGGTTTATAAGCTCTGTGGCTATGAGGCTGCAGGTCAGTGAGGCAATCTTTACATCCTCCATCAGCCCCTCTCTAGACAGCCAGGTGTTAGGCAGAGCCTCACCCAGCAACAAGTAGATGAGCTCCACCATCTTGATTAGTGATTTATTGCTTCAGTCATCATGTTTGGAGTCATCACATAAGAATGTTAAAGACTGTCCCTATGTTACATGCAGAGTATTTTGACTGCTCCATGTGCATTCGGTTTGCCTGGCCTTATTGCCACTCAGTGATAATCAGTGTGAGTTCTCCCTCTCTTGGTCTTTTTGGTGCCTTACATCCTCTGACTGACTAAACATTTCTACAGCAGTCAGGATCTAGAAACACCAAGTTAATGTCAAAGAACTACTACTGATAGACCCAGACTGATGCTCTGCCTTACATCACCTTGTGATAAAAACTTGAACACACCACAAAAAAAAAAGTCTAATGGCAAAACTCACAAGCAAGTTAAGAAAATGACATGCTACTTTCTGAAGAATGATATGATATAGCAAAAAATTACCAAATTACCAATTACCACATTATTATTATTGTTATCATGAAATATAAATATTTAATTGTTTTATTACCAATTAAATAATTATCCATTTTTGTTGTATGCTTAATGTAATATTACTTTTTAATCTTTTTAAAAAATGTCACAATTTCTTTCCAATGATTTTTTTTTCTTGTAACAAACAAAGTGGGATGTGAGGATATTTTAACTTCTGAGTCCTGACAAGTTACTATTAAAACATTTAACAGAAACAATGTTTGACACAACTTGAATTTGTATAAATACACATATGAAAACTTTGCAGACACCTGTTAACGTCTGAAAATTATTAACCTACTGTGTTCGGGTACGAACTAAAGACCAATCGTCCAGAAGAGGGCGCTGCTTCAACAAACTGCATGCAAATCACCTAATTCTACAGAAGAAGACGCCAGCTGCCGTACAACACCAAAGAAGAAGAGACGTAACCCGTGTCATGTAATTATAACATAACCAAGGTTATCCCGAAGATACTGGGGGATATTATGAACGTCATTTGAACAAAACAGAGTGTCTCTTATCTCGGTAAGAAAATAAGCTCAACAGCTTGTTGTTTACAGTGGTGAAATTTGTCTGTCAAATAGCCAACACCGACATTGACATGCTAGCAGCTTTAGCTAGTGAGCTAACCATCATCCGCATGACGGAGGAGTTGACACCAAATTCTGTTGAAAATTAGTACAATAATACACATGACCGGTTTTTAATCAGAGTGTAACATTTTAGCAGCTGCCTGCCTCTTATTATGTAATTCCTTGCCTTTCAAAAGACACCACGGTGGGTGACAGCGAGCATTATCATTTATTCAGGAGTCTTGGGGCACCTTCTGGTGTAGTTAGGTGGACTTTAGTTCACATGAATGTAAAGGTATACTAGATCATTCTGTGAGCGGAGTCTGGTGTGCGGTGCCCTCCCAGTCAGAGGGGTGACGTTTTAACTGAAACACATTGTTCAGGGGTTCAGCTGTTGAATCTACAGCGTAAGTAAACATTGTTCATCAGTGGAGAGGGAACTTAAAAGATAAAATATTTTTCACATGTGATGCTAAGCGTAAATGACAGTTTCCGGCGCTGACAGCTAATGCCAGATGTCCACTGCTCTTTCTACGATATCAACCCAGGTCGCAATGAGCGTCCCATGTTTCTTGTCCTCCGCTGCCCGAAGCTTCAGTCTGTCCGGCCCCGCCGCCAGTCTCTTCTGCCGCCGGCTCCTGAGCCCCAGCACCGTCACTAGGTGAGTTTCATCTGAATTGTACCGGTTACGTTGTTTTGTAATTTGGTAACTGGCACTTTAAGTTGGTTCAAGCCTGCTGACAGTGAGGGCAATGTCCACTTGCTTTTTTCTAAACTGCTAGTCATATAAGACAGCTGCCACTCTTAACTAACTCTCTAAGGGGATATGTGACATTCAAGGCAAGTGACAAAAACATTTCATTTTTATTAGAAGAAACATGTCCTCCAAAAGACAAATGGACCATCTAGAGAGGACAGCGAGCAATTCCAGACAAAATGTAAGTTGATATTATGAAATTAATTTGTTCATCTTGACTCTATCTATCAACTGTGCCACTATGCAACTGCATCAAATACTGACAACTCGTCCTTTGACTATTAACCTGTTTGTATACTCCTAACAGGCTCTGTATCCAGCTGAAGTGTGTGGAATCATAAATGAGTCAGAGACAGTAAAACGTCTGAGGATAGCCGTCCATCCAGACTTCAGCTTTAAAGCAGGACAGTGGTGAGTAGACTTTCACTAACTTGTTAAACATTTTCTGTCAGGTTAGGGAACACATTGTGTTGTGACACCTGAGGTATTGCACCAGTGAGACAGAGAGAAATGAGAACGTTACTCTGGCTTCGATGTGATTTTTTATTTGCTACTTCTCTTCTCGGGACAAATGAATATAATAGAAGAATTTAGGCTATTTATCTCCTGTTCTTTCCAATCTGCCAACATTGCATGCATTGCATTAGCCTCCTTAAACTTGTCTCTGGGGACTTTAAAATAAAAGTTGCCATGTTAATACTTTCTTCATGAACCAGAGGTTAACAGAAAAAATGTAGGTTATTACGTGAGCTCACTTTGTCAAACATCTCTGAGTTGTTCCATAATGCTTGTAGTGCTCATAGTAGCCACAAGGTGGTAATGTTGTGCTTGATTTGTCCTATCAATGGCCTGGTGGTTTTCTTTTCTTATACAAAACTTTTACAGTAAACAGTTTACAGCCTTACACCACAGCTCAAGATTATTGTTGATAAGATGAAGAAAAGGAATGTACTGCGTCAACTAAAGCAAGGATCAAAGGTTTTTGTCAAATAAGGACAAACCAAATAATTGTTGGGGACTTCATAAGATCAAGTTAACTCATAGATTTGTGTGGGGAACTGTTGTATGCACTGGGTTGCATGCATGCTTGCTTCTTTGACTTGAAAGGTGCTTGAGATGGTGGCTTGTTTTGGACTGATGCCTATAGCACAGCTTTGTGTCTCTGGCAATTATCAAGTACATTTACAACAAAATATAATTAAAGACAGACCTTGAACAATGTAATGCTCCATGGTACATCAGAATGAAAGTGACATAACTATTACACAATTATACAAAGATTTGTTTAACACAGCTATACCAGAGGGTATGTTATGGAGGGTGTGCTTTCAAACAGAACTTTCCAGCGACTCTCTTATTATCATAATAAGAAGTTAACTTCTTCTTCGGTGAAGAGCTGTTTTTTCCCCAAGTCTGTGTCTGTCAGTCTGTGTTGCCAGTGTTAATTAGTGTACCATGCACATGCAGAACATGTACATGAGCCCATACTGTAGGTGGGCGGTGGTGAGATATAAAACCAACAGCCAGTTGCCCTGCGGCGACTGATAATGAATTTAAATAGATGGAAATCTTTGAGTTTCACTGTTTCTGAGGAAAAAGGACTGTTTAGTCGTTGGTCTCCAGGTGGGAGAGGAGGAGGAGGAGGAGGTGGAGGAGGAGGAGGAGGTGGAGGAGGTGGGTGGAACATATGTGTGCATCTTCACAGCAGATCCATATTTATGATGCCTCTGAGGGTTGTGGAGTCAGTGTCTCTTTCTAGTGTAACAGTGGGTCATTGTGCTAGTGGAACATTAGCCCAACTGTTTAGCTGTTTAGTTTCCCTCTTGCAGGAGGGGGGGGGGGCTATGTTGTAGTCCGCTCTGCTTATTGACGGACAGATACGACCACATTGGGTATAAGACTGGGTCATTACACTTTAAAAAAACTAACTAGTAGGCAACTTTACATCTGGCTTGGTTTTGTTCTCCTTGCTTTCTGGAACTACTGCTCTCTTCGCTGAGGTCAGAGGTCACCACTCTACCTTCGTTCACGCTCTGACCCTCTGGTCAGCACCTTTTCACTCTTGAATTAACTATTGTTTAGAAATCTGGAAAGTCAGCTATATTTCCAGACCAAATAATATGGTGGTTATGGTTTAAATAAGATGGTTGTACTTATGTTTAACAACAATGTGCATGCCGTTATAATACATATAACACAATTCAGCGCAGTTATATTTGAAATCGGCACATCCTCAGTCAGACTTAGTATTGTCACCTTAGATTAAACAGACATTTTTTTAAATCTGTGGGACACTTAAATTGATAAATTGATCATTGTCTGACTCTTATGATTTGTGTTTGTGTGTGCGCAGGGTGGATTTCTTCATCCCCGGCGTGGAGAAGGTGGGAGGTTTCTCCATGTGCTCCAGCCCGGGTTTGCTGCAGCGGGAGGGGGTCATTGAACTGGCCGTAAAATACACCAAACACCCACCAGCACACTGGGTCCACACTATGGTGAGTACGATAGACACTCTCTCCGTGATATATAATTATCATTTAAATATACGTATATAATATTGAAAACTTACAATGTTACCGTGAGTGGCAATTTTCCCAGGTAAATAATTTAGAGTTACCTGGAGAGATCGCTACCTAGGAGTAGGAATATTCTCCAAAAGCAGATTTGCTCATCCACAAGGCTGTCTAATGGTTTGGAAGACTGCAGTTGCAAGTGTGTGTGTGAGAGAGTGAGTGCGTGAGAGAGAGAGAGATGATGAAACGGTTTGAAGGTGTGAGTGCAAGAAAAGAGATGCAGAAAGCAAATGAGTGGAGCAAAAGGATCAGGGTGGTGAGAAGGGGAGGTGTTACATGGTTAGAAAAATGAAACACTGCTACACAATCACAGCACTGGATATTCTTAAAGTGAAGTGTCAGAAAAAAAATGGCAAGTCAGATGATATTTCCAGAATTTCTTTTCTTTGTGTCCGACCCTGCAGAAGCCCTAACTGTACTAAAAGGCTAAATGAAAAAGTAGTGATTCACACTAATTAAACATAAAGCTTCTGAAACTATTCCTTTCCTTTTCATTATTTGCTTTCTTGGTTTTTTCCTTTTTTTTTTTTTTTCGCCTTATGACCCCTGATGTGTTTCAGTTTCATAATTTCTGTCAAGAGACTTGTCAATTTAAAACTGCTTGTGTGGTATGTCTGATGTAGAACTAGGGAAGAACAGTATGCAAAAAATATTGCGATCGTGATATGAGTCATGATTTCAGTTGGAAGTGTCGTTTTTGCATTTCACTCTCTGAAAAAAGATAGTGAAAAGTGATTTTTTTGGGGGGGGGGCTTGTACGAAACAAGCATGTTCCTTTACATCTGAAGGACATTATGTGTAGGCCGGGGCATCGCTGTAGCACCACAATGCTTCATTTTTGGTAAATTGTGACACATTTGACCTTTTTATCAAAGAAATTGCAGCTCCTGTGAGTTGGATATTGCTCTTGGCCATGTTGCAGTTTTGATGATATTTAAATTAATTGTTCAGCCGTATGTAGAACTGTAATAGAAGCTGGTGTTTATCTGTGCAACTGTGTAGAGCAGTACACTCTGAAAAATGTGGTAATGCTCAGAAGATCTACACAGGGTATATAAAAGTTAAAAAATGTCATTAAAGTATAGAAAGATTTTTCATGCAAAATACACAGCAGCTGTGTAACATTCTGTTGTATCTACCAAGAACATGTGGTTCAACTTTTTTTTTTTTGAATCCACTGTGTGCGAGTTGTTCTGTGAATATGAACAATGTTTTCTCCTAGCTCTCCTTTCCCTCTCTGTACTCTGCGTGTTTGTTTGCAGCTTCACTGTTTGATGATGGCTCCTAATAAATAGCTCTGAGCTCCTGCGCTGTGTGTAAATAAGTAACAGAGAGCGATGTGATGTGTTTGAGTATTCTGAGACTTACAGCTCTCAGCTCTGGGATCTTTTGATGATCCTTTTGTTTGATATTGCGCTCAGACTGCTCTCTGTGAGGCGGCAGAAGTGTTGCGACCATGATAGCGGATTAAGAGTGCGAGTGCTGTTACGCGTATGCGTGCTTACAAGTGTACAAAAGCAGATGAAGGCATGTTTACTGCTCCTTTTGACTTCTAAAGACGTTCACTGTGCAATTTGTGAAATCGCTTTCACCTTGGCGTAGGTTTGTTGTGTGTATGCATGCTGATCTGAAAGTCTCTTTTTACTGTTTCCCGGGGCTCATCTTAGATGTAGTTAATGTAAAACTGTACTTGATGTAGAATTTATATATTTGAGCTACTGAGCACTCAGAAAAGTTAGAGTCCAAGTGTCCAGCTTAACACTGTCTGCTGCCAACCTTTTTCTATGTCTCTCTTCTCCGTCTATATTTTGAATGTATTCTCTTCTCTCCTTCATCTCAGTGTACAGTGGGCTCCCAGGTGGCCATGCGAGTCGGTGGGGACTTCTTCTTTGATCCGTCGCCTTCTGACCCGTCTGTGGATTTGCTGCTTGTAGCCGGCGGTGTAGGGATCAACCCTCTGTACTCCATTCTGTTGCATGCCGTAGATCTCCTGCATCTCAACCAGAGCTCGGGCGGTCGGGACTACAACATAGGCTCCACTCACCTATGCTACAGTGCCAAGAACAGCCATGAGCTGCTCTTCAAGGTGTGTTCTTGAATTATGTTTTGGGAGATTATGAAGAATTTTTTTTCTTTTTTTCTTTTTTTTTAAACTCTGAATATCAGTGTTGGGTTTTCAACAGTGTCCATATGTATGTCTGCAGTCTAAGGGAAGCTGTGTTGCAGGATGTAAGAATATGACAAATGTCTTACTACCTACCCTCTGTCTTCCCAGAGCTCCATCATTGAGGCGTGTCGGGAGTTCCCTGACAAGTTCTCCTGTGACTTTCACGTCACGCAACAGAGCACAGATGTCGACCCACACCTCGAGCCATTTATCAACCGTAAGTAATGCCCATACACACACACACACACAGACACACATACTCCTACACATACACTTTTCTTTGTTTAGCTGGGATGATTGAGTGACTGTCACATTGTAGCACAGTCTTCTCTTTGTTGATTTATCTGTGTCATCATGTAGAACAGGCACTATCAAAGCTCCACGTGGGAGACTCAGAGGGAATAGGTGCCACAGCACTGAGTCATGATTAATTGATTGACTTCCCTTGTGTCTCCCCAGGCGGGAGAATCACCAAGGAGGAGTTGCGAGCTCATGTGGACCCACAGAGGACTTTGTGTTACCTGTGCGGGCCCCCGCCCATGCTCGAAGCAATATCAAAAACCCTCATGGACCTCGGGCTCTCGAAAGACAGGATCCTCTTTGAGAAGTGGTGGTAGAACCTCAGACAGTTCCCAGAAATCAACGGGGTTTTCCTCCTGATTCTTGATTCCTTTTGTAGTCTTCAGGGGGAGGATGTTTGGGGTGTGGTGAGACTGGAAAGCGACTGAAATATTCCAGTGATGTGGACATTAAGAGTGCTCAAGCAGCTGAGGAAATTCATCCTCTGATCCCTGCTGCTGAGACCTGTTCCTGATGTGTGATAGACCGCTGGGGCCGCCCACTGTTCAGCTTGCAGCTGACTCATAAAGACAAAAGAGATGGGTTTTATTTCTTATAATCTTTACAGGAAGACTGAGCATACTGTAAAATCATTGACCACCTCACTTCCTTGCTGAATAACGCAACAACTGTGTATGATGGATACATTTTACCTTCATATTCAATCTTATTTCCAACCTATACTTGCTTGACTGAGGTTCTGCTTAAACAGATTAATAGGTAATGTTTAGTTTTACCCAGAATTCTCACCTAAATGTTTATGCACCAGTTAACCTATGTGAGCATACTGTATCTTAAAGAAATAGTTTTTGTGAAATTCGCTGTCCTGCTAAGAGTTAGATGAGAAGATTGATACCAGTCTTGTCTCATGTCAGACAGCTAAACATAAAGCTGCAGCCAGCAGCCTGTTAGCTTAGCATAAAGACTGTAAACAGGGGGAAAGGTAAGTGCATACTCACACCTCTAAAGCTCACTCAGTATCTGTTGGCTGCATCTTCATATTCATCTTCTCATCTAACTCTCAGCCAGAAAGCGAATAAGCAAAGTTCCCAAAATGTCAAACTATTGTTTGAAACATGGAGGATCAGTGCAAAACAATACCAACATGTACTGTGATTTTACACTGTACACAAGTGTTTGAGTGGCTAATTTTCTTCTATAAAAATACCTCTAATGCTTACTTGATAAAGTGTTGTTAGACCATGGGTGTATATATACTGAAATAACTCAGAGCTATTTATTTGCAGAACTGAAGATTTTAGAGTTGTTTGGCTGAGTTACAATGGAGTGATGATTGTTTCTACTTTTTACTCACATACAAACTTCACACCACTTCTTTTATTTTTAGAGTCAAAAACATAACAATCTCCCACGGCCTGTTTTACTCACTCACACCATTACATACATACACAGTGTCTATTTCCCACACAGCCACATGCCCATGAACAGTTTCCCAGAGTGGAGTGAGTATCCCATGGTGCACGGTAATGGAACCTCTAGGTGGTCCCTGATTGGCTTGGATCACTGAACATCCCTCGGAGATGGTTGTGAGCTCCTTGTCGTCGTCTCTCTGTGGGGGTTGTGCCGCTGAGACTCATTTTCGAGTTGTTTTTGCGTTTCTTCCTCGTATGAGGAAAATTGTTTATGCTGGTAATGTGAGATTTACAAGAAATAAAAAAAAAAAAACAGATTGACTCAATTTCCTTTAACACTTTATTGACCTCCTCTTTTATATAAAGACTTACATGTCACATTACTTACACACAACACAGGTGGTCCAGGAAATAAGTAATAAATAGCTTATTTCTAATGTATACGTTCTCTGTAGAGGAAACCCTTAAAGGGTCAGTTCACTCAAATTACAAAAAAGCATTTTCTTGTAGCATCTTGCCAAACAGACAACTTTGGTGTGGTTGAGCCAGGCTTTGAGACCGCACCAATACAATGGAGGTGAACAGAAATATTTTGTGATGCTCCCAGCATCAAAGATTAACAGCAAAGTGTCAAAGATTACGTCTCTAAGGAAAGTGTCAACTGTATGTAGGTGGATAATCCAGAGTAACAGGCCTATCACTACTGGACTTTTCTTTTTTTAAACAAGCATCACAAAATCATACTGAGGTGGAAACAGTATATCTCAAATCCCAGCCAAAAAGAATCAGATCTATCTGCATATTCTACTAGAACTGATGACAAACTTCTTTATTTTTATAAGTTACACGAACTGACCCTTTAACATTTAGACACCCAGTAATGTACCACATATTGCCCAAATGCAGTGTAGAATCTGGCTGATACTGTATTGTAATAATGTATTTTATACATTTTATTTATTTTTTTGGCAAAGACAAATTTGAATATTACAAAAAAAATCTGATTACTACATACTGGTTGACATTATTTTTTCCAACTAAGTTTTTATTCCCTAAATTTGGTTTCTGGACAAATTATGACCAAGATATGTACTGAGTGAAACATTTTAAAAATAAACTCACTCTGGTGGACGAATTACATGATGACAACTGTTTATAAATTACCTCAAGCATCTTTGGCATATCTGTACTGTTTCTTGTTTATGGGCCAATGTTTAAAGTGATACTGATGTCTAATAAGCTAAAATTGGCCAATGTAGATGTATCAGTTGGGCTTTAATACAGCTTCCTACATACTTTGTTACTTTTTTCTATCTTCATTTATATACTTTACATATAAAAATACAATGAGCCCAGTGAAATCAATACTCCCTTTTTAACAGTCCTATGACGAGAAAGTAGTAAAATACAACAATAGGCAAGAAAATAATACTTAAGGCTTAGACTGGATACTTCCTCCGCTTCTGGGTTCTACTGTATTGTCCTGTACAGTCTCATTTCATTTCATATTAAGACACATCAAATAGTAACATTGACCCAAAGCAGAAAAACTGCACAACACTCTCCCAATTTACGGGAGCTACAACCTCAAAGACTCGCGTCCTAAACAGAGCAGACTGAAGCGTGAGCAACAGTATGTGATGTAAATACACTATATATGACCACATCTGGAACCCACAGAGGACCTAAAAATCCAGATCAACAAAACACTTTTAAAAGACTTTTTTGATAAACTAACCAGGTTTCAGCTTCCCTTCCCCTGCCTTGTGCCCAATGTGTCAACAGACGCCAGAAAACAGCTGGTGTTTGATCCGCTCTTCCGTTTTCACCTCCTCCTTGACCACTCCGTCATCTCTCTGACACACATCTGTCCACCTCACCGACTTCTCCTGCGCTGACAGAAGGATCTTGTCAATGTCAGTTTCCTCCTCCTGGTCTTCAAGAGAAACGCTGCTCCCTGATAGGAACAAGGGGCCCTTTTGATGCCGTGCATCCTCTTCCCTCTCCTCTCCACCTTCCTGAAGGCTTGCCCTTTCGCTCCTTCCACTACCCCTGCTCTTCCTCGCCTCTGCTGCTTCTTCCTCTTCCTCCTCTTTTGTGTTACTTCTCAACCTGTCCATCTCGGCCTCCATCGCGGGGGACCTGTTCTCTCTCTCCTCTTCTCCTGTAGAGTTTTTCTTTGCCTTGCTGCGACCCCTGAGGCTCAGCATCTGAAATCAAACAGATGTGTCTGAGACAGTTTTGCGCTTTGTGCTGTGTCTTTTTTCTTTCTATCTCTCCAGACACCTGACAAACCACAACAAAGTCTCTCTCATTGATGCCTCTTTCCTGTACAGTTTGAGGCCGACTGTTCGCCTATTATTAGACTTTTCCTGAGCAGGTTTATATTTGCTGTACATCCCATATTTAGTAACATGACTTTTTAATGGCACCTTCTGTGACATAAAGTCACGTATCCTAGAGGCACAACAGAGACAAGTGACAGATTAGCTGCGAAGAAGCAAAAGGGGAACAAACCTTGAAGTCTTTTCTCTTGCGTTGCAAAACGGGTCTCTGAAGGAAGAGGATTTGCTTGGTCGACAAACTCCCGTCACTGCAGAAACAAAAGAGCAGCACTTTTACTACCGTTACCTGTTATGTTATAATCTGACGAGCCTGCATATATTGCTTCATGTATCGAAATCCAGTTTCTGTTCGTCGCGGTTTGTAAAGTGGCAGGTTACAAGACGGGAGCATTTTCGGCGACAGTGCTTTTGTTCGCAGCTCCAACAGATTTCAAACGCGGTTTCATGTTGAGATGAGCATATGATCATGATTTGTCAGATCTCAAACCATCTGTCCTGTGTATCTAAGCTACACTGTCAGTCCTAATCCCAAAACAGAATGAGACAGGCAACAGCTAGGACAAAAGAATAAAGAGCCTGAAACCAACAAAGCAGTAATTAGTCTTTGCTGGTTTAAGTCGATGTTATTCAGTGATCAAATGTGATGAAAAAGACAAGTTTAGCAGTGATTGGAGTTTATGGCTGTAATAGTGAAATCTTTGAGTGCAACTCTTTACCTGTTGGTCTTGACAATTGGTGTAGGTAACACACACATTAACCTCCATCCATATGGAGCTAAAGACTGGAGCAATGGGATGTAGTCTGTCTTCACCACCACACCCTGAGCAGGAGAAAGTGACAGAACAAAAAAAAAAAAAAGACTCACACCAACAATTTACAATCATACATACACACAAAATGTACAGAGACGTTGCAGGTATTAGGCTCAGCCAGAGAAAAACACACACACACACACACACACACACACACACACACACACACACACACACACACACACACACACACACACACACACACACACACACACACACACACAGCTTTCCTTCATCTCCACTCTTACGTAATATTTGACAGAAAACAGCTTAAGCCTTCAGTCACAAAGGATTTCTCATAGCGCACATCTTCACCAGAGTATTAAAAACTCAAAGACCCACATCAACAACGGTCCACTGCTCAACCACGATGGCATCATAGGACGCGTTTGTGGTCTCCTCTGCAGAGCTCTGGAAGATGAACACACCGTCCACAGATGAAACCCCATTGTCTGGAGAGAAAAACAGGACAAATTAGAGACAGAAACATATCAACACAGGGAGTGCGTATGTGATTCAGACACTTGCCAATCTCTCACTATTGATCCCCCTTTCCCATGGCTTAAGTCTACTTATTCCACGGGTGACTGAGCAGTGACTTATGGTGTAAGCCGTGGACTTATGGCACATATCATCCATTACCCAGCAGTGAAGCGGAGATCTACAGCCTGAGCAGCTTTTTCTTCCTGTCAAGCATGGATACAACTAAACCAAGGAAATTCCTCTCAGAGTCTGAGCCATTCATTTAAGAAGTCATCAAGTAAAGGAGGAATGAGAGCTGTTTGTAGCCTCTAACTTTTCCTCCTGTGTTGATCATGAAACGGAAGCAACTCCACAACGACAGACCGCTATGGTTCATCGCTATCATCCCCGTGGAACGTACCGTTGTCGTCCCCAAGGTGGAAGAACCCGTCGATGAGGTGCGCGCCGCTGGTGAAATGCTGAGTCATGTGGTCAAGCCAGTGCGCGTCGACTTCCGTGATGAGCCCCGCTTCCTTTTGTACTCGAAGTGGCACCCTCAGCGAGTAGAACCTCAGAGCAGTGTTCAGCTCCCCTGTGTGGTTGTACAGGGCAAAGAGCTGCATCCCTGCAGACACAAAGAAGCAGGAAAATCAGCAACTGGAAAGCGAGAGAGAGATTTCTACTAGGCAACAAGCGGGAGATGGGTTACTTACTACCCTGCGGTGGGGGTGAAGTCGTGTTCTTATCTTTCTCTGAACCCTTGAGCCGAATGTGGTTGTTGTTGTTGTGTGTTGTGACTCTGCTTTGTCCATGTGCACAGACAGAGCTGGACCTCTTTGCGTGGTTGTGATCCAGTTCCGGAGAGCTGTGCCAGCTGTCCGAGCTCGAACCTCGTCTTTCTCTCTGGTTTGGAAGGTGAAATAGTTTCTCTGTAGATTCTTTGTGCTCTGGCCGACCGCGCTCCTGCTGTCTGACTGTACCTGTACTTTCCGAGAGACACAGCTGGCTCCCTTGGGTATCTGCTAGGTTTTGACTTGGACACCACTGAAGTGCGTCCACACCAGGTTTACTGTGATTTTGAGGTTGGTTGGTTGATTCTAGTGACTCTTTGAAACCGATCTGTGAGGTCGGTTCATTAGACTCCTCTGTGTTGAGCTCTGAACTCTGGGTGGGTTTCAGAGGGTTGAAGTCTGGTTCTCTGGGCACCGAAGGCTGTGTGCTACAGTCTACATTTTCAAGATCTAACTCTTGAGGTTCAAAGGGGTGATGCAGAGGTTCTACGCCATTTTGATGTGCTTCTGTTGGATCTGTTGGGCTGGTGTTGGCGCTGAAGGGGTCTCGATGTATAGGCGAAGGGCTTGAATGTAAGGATGACAGCTCCTCGGGGTCCCAGTTCCCCAAGAAGCAGGGTCCGCCACCTGGCTGCTGGAGAAAGCCCACGAACATCACCCCTTGCTCCGCTACATCCTGGATCTGTGGGAGGTAACATACACACGCAATGTTATCACCTACACACACAAAAAAACTCTATCAAAGTTTAACTTGAGTGACACATGAATATAAAAGACATCATTCACAGCACCAGAAATAAATCTCTTCTTCTACAGTCAGACAAACAATGCCTCATTTACACACAAACAAAGGCTGACGTATGCAGAGTGGATATTCTGCGAAATAACAACCTACCTAATCATCTGCAAAGATCAAATATTCAAATGACAAAAGGACCTCATTATCTCAACGCATCTGTGTGTGTGTGCGCGCATGTGTGTGTGTGTCGCTCCCTACCATGGAGCTCTGGTGGTTAATTGTCAGTTGATATTTGGGCTGACAGTTTTAGACAGGCTCGACGGGAGAGAAATCAGATTGCAAACTACCATCGAACAATAATGAGACACATCTCCCCCTATTACCCACTACTTTTGACACTTCACTCATCCGTACACACACATCACATCTGTAAACAGTCTGTCTATGACATCCAACACACTCACACAGTTTTATCTGATGAGTATGTCCAGAGACAAATTGAGAGCCGGTGAGTGCTGGACAAACAGAAGTATAGAATATCAAAACTGTAATCACACTCTCTCACACACACGCACACCCACACGCACATGCACACACACACGCACACGCACACAATCCTGTCACCCTGTCTGCCCCCGTACTGCTCCTGGGTTCTTATCTCGAACTCTCTGGCAGCTTGTGATCTGATTGGTTATTCATGTCACGCTGCCGGAGCCTATCACATTATACTCAGTGATGTGCATTTCCATCCAATCAGGTTTCCCTTTGTGCCGTCTGGGTGTTCAGATGCAAATCTATTCAATAGAGCACATTTTCATTTCCCATTGTAGGACTGTTGGCGAATTCATGAGCGGAGACTAAAAGTGAGTTTTACGGCTGATAAATGCCAGTGATGACGCTGTGGTTGGCCGGGGACCTTAAGGTTAACTCTCACTATAGTTTACCCCAACTACTGTAACCCCCCATTCATTGTATAGCTCCTCCCTTTGTTTCTCAGCTACAGGAGCATGAACAGTGTTGCAGGAGGTGGAAGAACGCTTAAATCACTTGCTGCTTTCTGTCTCTTTACTTACAGCTCACTTGGGTCTCTCACATCACAACTGGACTTGGTTCTTCCTCAGCCTCCCTCATGATGATTTGTTAAAATCCTCCCAAGGTAAATCATTCAATTTTGCAATATTTTAAAATGGAAAACCACTAATGAAATTTGCTCCATTTGAATCGGAGAAGCTCTGCACATCAGGACCAGAGGCTAACTTACCATATGGCACAAACAGGCAATTATAGGCAGTTGCCTGTAGCCTTTTGAGCCCCGTAATGTTTGCTTCACTTGCACAGCAGTGCTGCGCCAACATGAAAGGCACAAACGAAAACACACAGTGCAACAAGTACGGAGACGGAGATGGCAGGAGGATGTGGATTCTGCACACATCATTTTTGTTAAAAGAGTCCTCCGACAGTTTAACATCACACTGCAAAATATCAAGATGAGTCTAGATGTGGACCACCTGCCTGTGGCCTGCGAGCTCGTCTTCCTCTTGACAGATCTCTGTATGGCTATCAAACATAACACACTCTCCATGGAGACACTGATCCAATTCGCCTGATAAGTATCAGTGCAGGTACTGACCGCATTTAACAGATTGGGTTTCAGCCATGATGTAACCAGTCCAGTTTCTTGGTCACTGTCATAATAAAATTCAGTCTTTCCACTATCAGTTGCTTTCATTAAGCCAGAACTGTCCACTCTGTATGACTCGCCTTACAGTGCTGCTCTTACAAACCCTATTGGAGAGCTGGCTTATCGTTCTTTAATGGAAAAACTCTTCATCCCTGTTCCTGCGTCGGCTGACTGAAAGACTTTCTTTTTCATGTTAAATTAGAAAAGATAAGAGTTTCCATTAGAGAGTCTCATGTATCTTTCAGCGAGTTGCGTCTCCTCAACCATCTCATTGGAGCCTTTCTTCAACCTGATGATGACTAGGTGGTTGTTTGTTATTCTATTTTTTAAATTTTATTTATTAATGTTGTCCTATTGTCCCTAATTCCCTGGCATTATTTTCAGCCTTGTGTCTATGGGATGACCTGCGATAGGCTTCTGGCAGGTGGGGAGGTTGGGGCTGCTATGGAGAACTGGCTCCTCTCAGTCTGGATTTTGCGCTTTTTTAGGAACTGCTCTTTCTTTTCTTTTCTTTGTAAGATATTGTACAGTTATGTTTTCTCCTGTAATTTTGAACCTAGCTTGGTATGTGCAAAACTAATAAAAAACGTTTAAAGAGGAACTGGCTGCCAACTCAGTGTTATGTGCCGTGGCAATCCTTGACCTCATGTTACCTTGGGAAAGTGGTCTCAGACTTTTTGGACCACTGGAGTGAAAAGACGGACCAGTTCATTCCTAATACTCTTACATTAGATACAAATAAAAGGTGTCAGGGCTTTTCCTCTGAATAATGATAGCAATGTGAAGCCCTGCATCCCAAACAGATGCCTCATCACTAAGATCCTATTGAACGACCCTGAAAATTACAGCCTTACAAAGAACGAGTACAAGCCCATAGATTCTAGCTGCGTTGTTTACATGACACAACAAAGTTCATTATTTTTATCCAAACCTTTAAGAATCACTATGTGATGATAAAATCCATGAAAAGTGAATAATGTGAGACCAAATTACCTCTGTTGGCAGAACTCACCCTCTTGACGTAGCTCTGGATCACCTCTGGGTCAGCAGCCTGGTGACCCGCCACACACACATCTGTCTCCAGACGATGACCTGCCCACCTCAGTTGGCTCTTCTCTGAACTACAGGGTGAGAAATGAAACAAAGTTCAATTCTGCTCTTATAAACCAGGCAATGTTAAATGCACTTGTCCCTGTTATAACATCACCCTGGACTGTGTACTTTAGGTTCATTTCCTGTTTATTGCCAGAGCAGTTCCAGCACCCACTGACATTACAGTCTAAATGAGCCTTGACTCTACAGATTCTGGGAGACACGCTCATGTTCATCAGCACTCGTTGACCCAGAACGATCACAGCAGAAACATAATGTCATCTCTGGAACAGGGTGAATTTTCCATTTAAAGAGAGCTCACATTCACCACTATCACAATAGACTTATTAGACAGAAAAAGGGACTGAATTTCCTTCTGCTCCCGCTGCAAGACACCATCATAAAAGGAGTATTCAGATACGCCTCTTCAGATTTGGATTGAGGTCAGTGGGAAGGCCGTGGTAATATCTTGTGCTCTGAGGCATGAGTGACATTCCGAGCTAGATTTGAAACAGTAGATCTGTCAGATTTTTCTTCTTTCACTTTTAGGGTTTTTGATGAAAGGGGATGGCGGTGATGGGGAGATAAAAGGCGGAGTAAAGGGGACGAAGGGGGGTGAGGAGGACAAAAGAAAAGGGGGGACGGCCATCACTGAAGAAAGCAGATGAAAGGATGGAGAGATGGTTCCTCTCTTTCAGCGTGCCGTTCCCCTCTGGCGAGCGCTGATGATGCAATCAGCCGTCTCCACGGTGACAGGTGCCAGGAAGCAGCGGGACCACTTGGCAGGAGGGGCATCAAAGGAGCAGCTCGGCACCTGCCTGTGCACTAGAGTGTGTGTGTGTGTGTGTGAACACACGACACCATTCCTTGAATTCACATTAAAAGAGCAGATTGAACTCAGGAGGACACCTAAAACTGTAGAATCAGCAAAGTAATTCTTTTAATTGCAAAGAATAAGTGACAACAAATGGGGGGTTACATATGTAACCATGTTTCTCTGAGTCAAAAGACACAAAGACTGATCCACAGGGGTCCCCGCCTCTATACGAGACATTTTCTTCATCCAAATTATCATAAAGTTCCACTAAGCTGAAATCAGATCTGCTGGAGAGAGCATGGATCATTTGATGTATTGTAGATCAGTCACATATGTTTTGGAAATGTCAAAATATCCATGTGGTGGAAAATGGTATGCAAAGTGCCTATGGCAAGCAATTACTAAAGGGAATCTTCATATTGGAAAAACTGAGAGTACAAGCAGCAGATCTGGGAGAAAAATGACTGTGTGAATGATGACGAACGGTCTGAGGAGGTCTCTGCATGTATGCGGTTTCTATTTGGATCAGATATGTCTTAAACTTCTATGATGGCAGAAGTGAGAGTGGTGAGGTATGAAAACGATTCTCGAATATGATGGCAAATATCGTAGTTTTTAGTGTCACCAGAAGAAAAAGGTTAAAAAAAAAAAAAAAAAAAGAATTGGGTTACCCAGGAGATACAGTATACAGGGTAGTCACACAGTATATTATCATGAATAGTCAAAAGTGAAGGAATTGGGACACTGAGCTAAAGTTAGCCATTTTTCGTGGCTGACTCATGTGTAATTAATTTTACATCAAGAGAAGGAGGTGAGGTGCGGAATTTTGCTTGTGATAATGGGATTCAATTGGCTTCGAAACAATGAAGTCGTGAAAGCTGCTGCCTAATAACTGTTCTCAAAATCTGGCTGCAAATGAATCATGTCATGTATCTTTTTCAGTCTGCAATGTAGAGCTTCAGAGTTAAAACTGTTTTCTTCAGTAGGGCGTGTTTGGTTTGTGTACCTTGGCGTCTCTCGGACCAGCACGGCCCGGTGAAGCTGGCGCTGGATGTGTGCGTGGCGAGGGCCGCAGGGGTGAACAAACGGGTGGACGGCGACCAGGACGAAACCCTGCGCGTAGAGTTCCCTCACCTGAACCGGTAGCTCTCTGACCGAGGACAGACACAGCACCGAGGACACCGGCACCTCTGCAGGCAGGAGAACGGGTGAGGAGAGGGGAGGGAGAAAAAACAATTTCGTCAAGAAGGGGCAATGGGACGTGGTCAAGACAAGGATGTGAGAGAAAAGGAAAAGCAGTAGAGAGGTATTTGGAAGTGGATAAAAGCTGGAACAAAGAGGAGAAAGGGGGGGGGAGGGACAGAGGGTGTGAAAGAACAAAGACAGAGAGCATGTTTCATTATGATAATTCCCAGTGAACAACAACACATGGCATCTTCACGCTAAATCTGAAACTAATTACACCAGAACTATTAGCCTCTGTCCTCACTGTCACCAGCACAGTCTGGCTTTTAGAAAACACACACATGCAGACACAAGTGTGAAAAGACGCACACTGGGAAGTGCCTATTTGAACACCCGCTCATCTGTATTGACAGACACAGACTTAACACATTTTCACCCACACTAACAGACTGTTTAATACAACGTACACACACATACATCAAAAGGTCTGAAAGACAATGCTATCCCATTGCCTGTTTGGGCGTGTGGCATTAGCTGCAATCACCAACACAGAGCTGGTTGCCTTATTACCAAACACAATGGAAAGAAAACCGCTTCACTTCAGTGGGAATGGTTACTGGAGCTTATCTTATGGAGGCAAACTGTCACAGCAAATCCACCGGGGAGAGTGCAATGTTTGCGAGAACCGCCCTCTCGGGGTCGGGACATTGTAGTGAGGCTCTCTCTCGCCGTGTTCACCGGCTTTTAAGGGAACACGTGCATGTATCACTGAGTGAAGCCAGGTGTGTGTGAGAGAGACAGAGAGTGGGATGGAAAAAGAGGTGAAGAAAAGGGAGACAGAAAGAGAGAGAGAGAGGCAGTTAGGCAGAGCAGTGTTGGAGAGAGGAGAGAGAGAGATGAGGCTTTCTGTGCCTGAATGCTTGTCATCCCTTCCCATTCAATCTCATTTGCATGGGTCTGGAGAAGAGAAAATAACCTGAATAAATTAACTAGACACACACAAGAACACACACACACACAGGAAAAAAAAGAGAGATGTGCAAACCATCTCATTTTCAATTGGTTCTCCATCATCTGGCGTGTTCCCACACACACACACACACACACACACACACACACACACACACACACACACACACACATATGAGAAGCTGGCCAGCATGTGAGGATACAAGCACATGAACACACACTCTCCTGAAGCTCATCTCAGTGAAACAATGGGAGAGAAAAAAGAAAAAAGAAAAAAAAAACTCCCTGAGAAAATCCAACCATCACATCATCTTGGCATAACTGCTTGGAATCAGGAGAGCCTTTCATCAAGCAAACACTTAAACGGGTGTCTGTGGGGACTTATCAAAAGCAGTACAGTGATAATAATAATAACAGCTGGAGACTGGGTTGGCGGGCGGGTGGGGATAACAACGATCCTGTCACTGTAAACAGTCATTAGCCGTCATTAGCTCTGCACGGCTGGCACTCACCCACCGACGAGACGCAGGCAAGGCATCGCAGCTCATTCAGGCAGGGGCATACAGAAGTTATTAGGGTGTTATGCAGCGCTTTAGGCTGGGAAGCGACTTCATTTATACCGTCTGCCACTGTGGGATTTAAAAGGGAGGCTGCAATTCCGCTTCGGAATGGGAACAGCTCAGGGCAGAAAAGCCGGGTGGAGTTTTATGGTGCCAGCCAGTGAGGGAGCAGGGGCAGGGAGGTGCGGTGTTAAAGAGTCTGAGCGTGCAAAGGAGAGTGCAGCACCAGCATGTATGTTTAAGAGACTCGGAGGTGTGCGATGGGGTAGCTGGTGTGTGCCTGGAGGTGCAACTACATTTGTGTTTTTGTGATTGTGAGGGCGAGTGTGCATGAGATGGTGTGTGTGTGTGTGTGTGTGTGTGTGTATGTGTATGAGGATGCATATAAGTGTTTGTCAGAGATACAGACACGTACATCCAAGGTTGCATTGTTTAAAAGATTCAAGAAGCGGCTGTTTAGCTGCTAATTCCCGCCACGCTGTTCCCGTCTTAACCCGCTGCTTTGACCACATGACAGCCGCTGTGTGATGTGAGCGACGACTCACTTTTTGACCCAGGATTTCACAAGCTGTACATGCGGAGTGTGAGCCATTTGAAAGGGCTTATTAATTCCTTGTACAAATCCCCGAAATTCTGTGTGTGACTGTAAAGCATATTTTGTGAGTTGTGTGTGCGCCACGGTATCTCAGCGAGTGTGTACGGGCCATCTTTTTTTTGCCTGTGTTGTCTGAGTGTGTGCACATGAGAAAAGAGTTTGCACTAAGCCTGCTAGGTGATGCATGGGGATTACTACTCACAGCCACCCTCAAGGCTTATCCCTCTGCCTGGTGGAAGTTCACGTTTATTTAAATAGCCTTCTAATGACTTGCAGAGGTTTTAGGCGAGGATATGTGCCAAAACAGTGACTATAAAATAATCAACTTCCTGGAGCCAGGATCTCCCCACTGTTTGGGGAATGTAGCCACGGGCTATGACAGTTGTTGGTCAGCATCTGAGCTTTGTCAAATGGGGTCTGATCTCCTCAGAGTGCCCGCTTTACAAGAAATGTCTCAGACAGAGCACCGGGTTCACAGAAATGGCTGACAAGTACAAGCTGGAGAAAAAAGGTTTCTGGTGAGAACAGAGTGTAGTGCTCAAGGCGCATACAGTACCATGTACTTGTGATGGTGTGAATTCAAGTCTGGCTCACTTTTGACACATAGCAGCACTCTGCCATCTTTGCTGGCATTCTCCACAGGATTTTTGCCAATAAGACGGAAACCACATAGAGGAATGTCCAGAAAAATGATTCGAACTATGTCAGATCAGCATTTTCAACAATTTTTCAGAAAAAAAATGTTTACCTGGAAAAGTGCATCAGACAGTTCACATATCACAAACTGATGGATTTGTGCTTCGCCTGCTTTCTGAGCCAAATACATCACACTCAGATTCTGATAGCAAATATATATCATGTAAGGTAGAAGGAATTTGTCAACTTTGCCAACAGAAGAAATATCTATCATAACATCCAGGTGTAGATCACACACATATACACACACAAATACACACAGTCTATCCACATGATCAAAATAAACTTGCCCACAGGTATTCAGTCACACACACACACACACACACACACACACACACACACACACCTGAGCATTAGACACATGGTGTAAGTTTTAATGAGCCGAGTGGGTCTCCGTCTCTGCAGGGCGACAGAAAGTCATCAGCAGAGTTCAGCTCCGCACTGTCTGCTCCAGAGACCGGCGTTAGTCACACAGCATCACACCTAACTTCCTTCCTCACAACTACACAGATTCCCGACTCCCGCTCACTCCTCCTCACACCTCTAACTCTCTTCTCTCTCGACTTCTCCTCTCTCAAGACTCTCGCCCCCGCCCCCTCCCCGTTCCCGACCTGACTAACGCTCGCTGTATCTTTTGTTTCCATGTGCTTTTCATTCCCTCACCTGCAGTTCTCCGTTTCACCTCCTTGACTTTATTCTTCTTCCCTTCTACTATGCCCCCCCCCACTCTACCTCTCTTCTGTTCATGTTCTCCGCTCTCTCTCCATTTTCCTCTGCTCATTATCTGCGCGCAGCTTCGACACAAAGGAGGCTGGGTTAAAATGTCACACCTGGCTGTTATATTTCATACGCTACATTCATGCCGACTTGTCAAGGTAACCAATCAATGTCACAATGGGGATAATGGAGATCACGGCACTTTTTGTAAAGGCGGGAGATGTGTCAAGGTGCAGCACATTGGTGATTAGAGAGTAATAAGTAGAATAAGACATTGGTTGCAGGACGTATGATGAGATGGAGCTGCAGGCCAAATGCCTGGAACATTGAACATATTTTCTCCTCATCCTCCCTGAATTCATGGCAGGGTCGCTGTGACACAGTGAGAGCGAGCCGGGCTTAGATACATGGAAATATTTTTAGGCTAGAGCTCATAAAACAAAGGCTGACATGATATTATCAGCCACATTGTTTCTGGGGAGTTTCAACACTCACTGGGTCAAAGGTCAAGTTGGAAACCAACCTGTGCTCCTCTTCAGTCTGATCATTAAGCTCCTCTTCCTGAGAACACAACTTAGTTTAATAAACAGCCATCTAGTCTCACATAACTCAGAGGGGCACCGGAAAAGATATTTGTTTTTCATTACTGTGTAGGAGTCGTCATGTCACGCTGGCAGGGAAATAATATTATTAATGGGAGCCAAATTGAATTAAAGCATGGATTTGACCGTGGGTTTCCTCAATGTCATGGACTGACATACAGATTCCTCTATCTGCCTCCTACATACACACGCACACAGACACACTCACACACATAAATAAATCCCTTTGCTGGGAATGAGGTCTCTCAATCTCCACAAACAATCAGATAATCCTTCAGGAATCCTTCACTTCTCGTGGTCTCTCTATCACAAATGGAGAGAGGGAGAGAAACGAAGAGAGGCAGGCATACACCCACTCACAACCCCACACACACACACACACACAAACACACACACAATCAATTCATAGTAGCTGTGTTTATCCTAAAATAGAGTATACTCATCTTAAGCAGCTCAGGTGGCGTCATTGAGTTTACCATATAAATGACCTGCCTGTCTGTTGAAAGATAACACTAACTCTGTTGAGTAAGTGCTAAAAAGTGTTTTGTGTGAGTGTGAATGAGCTGCCATGGCTGCTTGTATGAACACTATGTGTGTGTGTGTGTGTGTGTGTGTGTGTGGTCTTTCTATATCTATATATGTGCTGCTGCTGCCGCCCATGCGATTAGACAATTATTTGCTGTTTCCTCCAGCAACGAGAAAGACGAGCAATCCTCATGTCTATTGTCTGTTTTGGTCACCACCACCAGTCTGGGTTGCCAGATCTCACTCAGCCAACCCTACAGCCTAACCCATTTGCCAAACATAACAGGGCTGGCTGAAAATGAAGCCGACTGGCAACCGGACCATTGCCACTTGGCTGTGGTGCTGTGCCTGCTGTCTGTTACAGAGTTGCATTGGAAACACTTCTAAAAAAAAAAAGAAAAAAAAAGGGGGCTTCAGTGAGCCCACTTGCACCTGCTTCAGCTTGTTGGGTGACAGAGTGCTCAGCGCTGGCTTGTACAAACATTAAGCCATAAGGAAAAAGAGGTGATTGTTTTTTTCCTTCATATCTGCTTCAACACTATCTGTTTCTACTCCTCGCTCCGTCCCTCCCCTCTATCTCTTCACAGTCCACCCCCAACACAATGGCAGAATTAGTATTTTTAGCAGCCAGATGCCTCTAGAGGATTCTCATCAAACATTCTCAAGACGCTGCGAGCATGCACACACACACACACACACACACACACAAACACACACCCACAATATTTCATATTCCCGAACAGATACACACAAATCAAACACGCGTACACACACACACACACACACAGTTCAGAGACAGCATGCAAACACACATCAGCTTTAGTATATTGTCATTGTGCCAGGGAGAAGCAGGGGGAAGTTGGAGGGCATGGCTGCAGCGTGCACAATATAGCTGAATCTGAGAATTAGAGAACTCTTTGAACTCCCTGCAACAGGGGCCGCAAACAGACACAACTTCAGCTTATAAGCCACTTTCTGCCCTCCAGATACTTACAGTATGAAAAAGAAAACAGCTCCGCAGAATCGCTGACCTAAACATTTCATTTAACCGGTTAAAGTTGGAACAGCAACTGTGGCTATTTTATGAGTGGAACACACACAAACAACCGTAGCCAGGAGTCCAGCAGGACAAAGCAGGGCAGAGTTCAACAGAAAACTTAAGTAAACGACCACATTGTACTTAAAAACAGAACAAGGTGCTCAGTTAAAAAAAAGAATCCTTTTCAACTACTTTGGATTTTAACCAAATGTGAAGAAACATTCCTCGGAGCCTGTTCCCTCCTCCAGACTGGAACTGAGACAAATGTGAATCAGATCTGAATGAAGCTCGCCTGCTGCATCTAATGGCCAGGATTTGTTCTTTTCAGTTGAGCTGTGTTTCACATCTCCTGTCACTCATTCATTCACCGTTTCCCTACAGTGCATAATAAACACTCAAATAAGGCAGTTTACTGTGAGTGATTTCACACACTTTGAACTCTGAACACGTTGACATCTGAGGAGCACAGGTGCTGAGGAGCACTGAGAGATTTTTTTTTGCATAAAGTAGTAAACACGTTATGAATACTACGTCATTTGTTCATTTTTTGAAATTTGTGAGGGAACCTTTAGTTTCACAACCGAGGAGGTTAACGTTAATCACTCCCAGATATGAAGGGAACACCATGTAACTTTTCCACATTAAAATGTCTAAAAATGAGTAGACCCATCTTGTATGTTGTATGTTATATACTTATCCCACATGTTTCTAGCCCTTTTCAAACCTAGAGAAAGTAACACACGACTATTTTCAAGTATGCATGTGTGGGAGAAGTCAAGTCACACAAAGTAGCCTACATGTCCCAAAGGTACTCACAGGCCCAGCCCAAGCTTTCAAAAAGGAAGAAGCTTAAACACATACAGAGGGAATATGTGTAATATTAAGTAAACATAGGAGAACTGTCATAAAGAGAGCGTTGACAGTATTTGTGCGCCCTTACAGTATCCATACCTTCTTTCCCCAACAGGAAATCCAGGAAGTGGTAGGTGTATGCCACACCCACTTTAGTCTCCACCTGAGGTCGTCTGAGGGTGGAGTAGATATTTCCTGGGCTTCGCCTCTCCTCTGCCTTTCGCAGCTTAGGGAGCCTACACCCCATGTCTCTGTGATAGAGGAGAGGCAGAGAGGAGAGGATAAAAGGAGAAAAACAGAGGTTGTGTTAACAGAGACTTGACTGAGAGACATGGAATGGATAGAGTTTCTAAATATACAGAATACATTAACACTTCCAAATAACATATGCTACTGCTCATGTGAGCTCGAGCTGTGGGAAACAATGTACAGATCTAACGCTCTCTCTCTCACACACACAAATACACACACAAACACACACACACACACAGCAATAATGCTGAAATATGAGTGTCAGCCATTACCTGCTTGGTGGGTTGTGATACGCACATCTCCTAATCAAATAGGGCTGATTGGGAGCGACATGTTTGATCAGAACGAATTAAAGCAGAAATGAGAATGATTTCCTGCCCTGTCAAGCAGAGCGACATGAGACTCGATGAGATAGAGGAGAGGAGAGGAGAGGAGAGGAGCATGCTGTAACCAATATACATGTTGATCTAAGGGAAGTCTTAGAGCACAAAGAAATCTGTGTTATTTAAAGTCTCTCTCAGATTGTGTAAGTAACTAACCAGCAGATATACTCAAGTATTGGTGATCGGAAACACAGCTTGAAGGGGGCTTGAAATTTCTTTTTCAATTCCTCCTCCCCTTGAATTTCAACAGGCAATTTGGACGTAACGATCTGAGTTGCATGAAAAGAAAAACAATTAAAGTGAGGTGGCTTTTGTGACAAATTACTGGGGATGGAAAGCACGGGAATGACAAATGAGTAGAGGGTGCAAAAAGAGACGACAAGACATGAGTAAGGGACAAGGGAAGAAGGGTGTGGCCAAATATCGTCAAGCTAATCTAATGTGACAGCGCTGGTACCCTCAAACCATCAGCACAGTTACGATTAATATCCCTGTCTGCCACGGCTTGTAAGAGCCACACGACGAGGTGAGCGTCTGCATGTGAGTGTGTGAGTGAGTGTGTATGAGTGTGTGTGAGCATATGTCTTCCCCAAAGGCAGGTCTATATCTGTATCTCTGCATCTGTTTTGGGGAGCATGGAGAATGACACAGTAACTCCCATTGGGCCAAGTGCATGGACGTTAACTCGGCTAACGATCCTAACAGACTACATTAAGCCTAGTGTGTGGCGGATGTGTGTGTGTGTGTGTGTGTGTGTGTGTGGTGACTTACAGCTTTTGAATGAATGGTACGTGCATTACCGAGGGTCAGAAAGTTGCATAAGGCAGCATCTTCGATACATTTTCATAGCTCATCTGTCTTGAGACAGTACACTCTGTCATTTTAAATTTTACAAAGACCAAGCAATTAAGAGTAATTATTTTTTCAATACAACCTGCTCTTTCATAACGAGGACAAACGAGGAGAGATGGAGGGATGACGCTGTGGGAGGAGAGAGAAGAGCGATATATCTTATCTGATTGTCTCCCCTCTCTTCTTCCTCCCACCGTACTTTCCTCTCCTCTTGACCCGTCTGTTCCCCTCTTAAACTCTCATACCATTAGCTCTTCATCTTGTCTTCCTCGTGATTTGCAAAACACTCTCTCCTTCTCTGACCCATGCCTTAATCACTCTTTTTCTCTTTGGCCTCTCCTCTGCTTCTGTCCACCATCCTTGATTAGGAAACTCCCTTCTTTCTGTTGGTACAATGGCCTTGATTAGTATTCCTTTTTGTCAATCTTTCTTTTTGTGTCCATCTGATTACGAGAATTCCCAACCTTCCCTGTCTCATTATCTTTTAATCCTGACTTTTACTTTCACTCCATCCTTCCACTTTCACTTTGTCAACTTCCCTCCGGTCTTGCTCCTTCAACCCCTTCCCTAAAACTCTGTCTCTCCTAATCATCATCTCCCTCTCTCCATCCCTTGATCCTTCCTGTCATTATGTTATGTTACATTATGCCCTTCTACACTTTTTTTCTGTCACCCCCTGCCTACAGTACATTTCCTTTTGGCAAGACCTCCACCTTCCATCCTTCCCTCCGTCCATTCAGTCCTTCTGTCTGGTGACTCAACGAGTGTTCGCAGCAGAGGTGGCCCCCTGCTGAGCCTGTTAAGTCCCATAAAACTATTACAATGTCTCCAGACAGACAGGCAGCCAGCCAGCCATGTGGGCTCTGGGTTATGTCTAAGTTAGAGCACGTAGATCCACTCCCAAACATTTCCCCTCCAGGTCTGTGCTTTCATATTCTCTGTCTGCTGCAGGGACAAAGGCAGGTTAATGTGAGGATGTTTAGCAGGCTTCATCTGTGGCTGGTTGGGGAAAAAGGGCGTTGAAAGGTGAAGCGTAAGATTGAGGAGAAAGATGTGGTCAAAGTATGACAATGGTGATGACTTTGTATCCATGGCAATATGAAGAGACGCCCATAGGGAAGGAGGATGATTTGCATCCTATCACTTTCCACAGATTTACTTCTCAGCTTTCTCGCCCTTCGCCTTCGCTCTAGTGTTTTAATACAATTACTAACCAATCCCTATGCAAATTATTGCAATTTTCACAAAGAAATAAAAAAAAAAATTCACATTCATTCATTGTCCTCATTCTTCTTTCTGCATAATGCATAATGCAGTGGTAAAAAGTCATGACAATTTGGAATGATTTGCTTATTATTTTGCTCGTGGCAATTGGATTTATTGCTCTCAAAAAAAAAAGTGATTGGTTCTAGCCTTGGTCTTGACTAGCCTACAGCTCTACTATTTGATCCGACATCTCATCATCCTTTTCACTGTACGCTGACAGTTTTGTTTCAAAACAATGGCCTCGCTTTAACAGATGAACTCTTGTCTGTGAGGATTAGAAACAGATCTCTATAATTGGACACAACATCAAATTTAAAAAAAAAAAAAAAAAAAAAAAAAAACAAGGTAGAAACTCCATCGAGCTCAAGACTCAAGGCCTTTTTACTCCATGAGGCCTTTTTCTCTACATGTTGACATCAAACAGAATCTCTCACTTGCTCTCACACAAACACACAGGCAGAGAAGGGCCTTGACAGAAAAAAAAACCTTCCATTACACAGGGAGAGACAGGAGAGAGAGACAGATAAAAGAAGTGAAAAAGAAAGAATGGAGTGAAGAGCGAGATAGACAGGGTGTAGCAGAGGGCTTCTCATTAGAGAATCTCTTGTAACAGAGAGTTTTGAAATGACAGCGGATTTACGCGAGAGCATAATCCGTCAGCGCTATGCCACTGCTCCACTACCTCCCGCACCACTAAGGGAGGGGGGTAGGGGTGGTGGTGGTGGTGGTGGTAGGGGGCTGCCTGCTTTCCAAGAAGCAGTATTCATCCACAGCAGAGGGAGCGCTACAGACAGGCAACCGCTTGGGAGCATTCACAGTAAATACAGACAGAACCACCGAGGAGGCTCTTCAGCAGCACCAAAGTTAAAATTCACATTCTTAATGTCTTCCCACTGAACACTTTATATTGCCCTAACCACTGTTTTTTTAATAACTGCACAGTATAAATCCACAATAACCCACAACTGGGCTGACTAGCTACAGGTAGCAAGAGCTGTTATGATGAGAAATAAGTAATCTATGCTACCAGAAGCAGCATTGAAGATGGTAGCTTTAATGCTGCTTCTTGTAGCATAGATTGAAGTTCTGTAAGTACTGCTGCTATCTTTACATTCACTACTTTTACCATGCCTTAAGCACTGATTAACAATGATTAGATAAACCCTAGACCTGCAATGATTAATCGATCAATCAATTATTCAATTTCATAATCAATTAATCTTAAGCAAAAATCCATTCTCTGGTGTCAGTTTCTCCAATGTCTCTTTGGGTTTTTTGGGGTTTTGGATTGGTGGTCAGACAAAATGACATTTATGTAGGACTTAGGTAAAATGTAATGAACATTTCTCAATATTTTCGGACAATTTATAAATGAGACTATGAAATACAAAAATTATTGGAAGTAATATATATAGTAGTATAATAGTTAAATGTAACCATACTAAACTTTGACTAAACTGTAACAATGAGGTGTGATATATCATGTACACCAGAATGGGACAGATGTGAGGTTACAGTGACATTGACCTTTGACTGCCAAAGTCTAATCAGTTCATCTTTGAGTCCACATGAATGTTTGTACCAAATTTAAAGAAATTCCCACAAGACGTTCCTGAGATATCACGTTCACCCGAACAAGACAGTCATGAGGTCACAATGGCCTTGACCTTTGAGCTATGACCACCAAAATGTAGTCAGTTCATCCTTGAGTTCATGACAAAGTTTGAACCAAATTTGAAGTTCCTGAGTCATCACATTCAGGAGAATGAGATGGACGGACAGACAGACAACCCAAAACATAATGCCTCCAGCATAAAAAAGTCACTCTGCTCATTATGCATTTTCGCTAATTTATGCAGCATGTTCAGTGTTAACATAAAGAGCTAACACAAGAAGTTGCATTTAGCAAAACATTAAGTGGAGGTCAGAGTGTCTGAAGTTCTCGAACTAAAAACACTGATTTTTTAATTATTTAACTATTACCATATCAATTTACTTACCAAAACCAAGCAGTTGTAGTAACCTGTTGTTCGCCACACCTCAACTAGTTTAGTTTCCAGACAAAGATTGAATTTTTCTAATGCGAACATTTTGTCTTCAACACTGATGAGGGTCCAGGAATTACAGATATTTATTTATATTTCGTGGTCTTGAGTGAGCCGTTGTCACAGCGCCAAGAATTTCTGCCATCACCCCTGACGACAAATACTGCACACCACCTGAGAAAAAGTATTTGTTGTTGCTGCATGTAATATAGTTTCTTGTTGTGTTCATTTTTGCACCTGATGCACTAAACTGACTTACAGCAAGTATCGGCAAATAAAACTGTCACTGCTGGCCTCCAGTCTCCTTTATTATTCAACTTTATAGGCCTGCTTGGAAGCCGTAATTCCCACTGCTTGTGAGTGGATGGTATTACAACTACTGTATATGCATAAGAAATGTTTGGCCTGTTAAAAGCCTGTCACAGAAAGCAGCTGCATTATTATTAAGATCTTGTATTGCATTGTCTTTCACTGAATTTCAAAATTAGAGGTGACAGACTGAGTCCTGGGGAGTGGACTTCCCTCCCACTGGGTTGGCACTCTGCTCAGTCTATCCAGGGATGATGGAGAAAGAGAAGGGGTGCAAGAACAGAATGAGGAGAAAGAGAGGAGGAGGAGGAGGAGGGGGCAACAGAGACAGACAGAGAAGGCAAGAAAGACAGACATAGAGCAGACTGGGAGCATGTCAAGTTGCCCTGAGGGAGGTGTGATTCCCCCAAGCAACACAATAGTCACCTCAAACGGTGTTTTAATGAGGCTGCATGTGGAGGATAAAAACAAATTGTGACATTGATGTATTGGTGTGTTGCACAGCTCCTTGCACAGTCTATTTTGCTCTAAAAGGAAGAGTTTATGAACAAGGGAGGACTGTTTGGACTGGGGCATCATCATACTAAACCCTGAGTCTGACTCTTTAGGTACTTGAATCCATCATTTAACATTGTAAACTCAATTTCTGAGGAGTAAGAATAAGTAATGAATACTAGACTACTGTTGCATGCATGGCAGTATGACGAACTGTATGTCACTCGCTACTAATGATTGAACGTTTTCAAACGCTTCCAAATAGATTTCCAAGCTACATGGAGAGCGCCCACACATAGTCATGTAACTAATTGATGCCCCATGCATTTTGTGGGTGCAGCCTAGCTTGAAATTACATGTTTCTGGTTTTCCTTTTTCCTCTTTAGTGCGTTCAACCTCAACCTCAACCTCTTTCTCTACACACACACACACACACACACACACACTTACTCACTCACAGACAGACAGACACACTCTCTCAACACGTGGCTAGCTGTTGCTGCCCGTTAACGGCGGTAGTTTAGTGAACGGGAAATGATGCATGAAGGGTCGCTTACGCACCAGATCTTTCTCGTCCTGAAACACACACACGCGCGCGCACACACTCACTCCATCCCCCTCTTCCATCTGCGCTCGGCACATTTACTCCGTCACGCATATCTTGAGTTCACTTCAACCTGTGACAGCGAGCAGAGGGCTTATTCATTTCGTTCCGCCACGAATAAAAATGGTACACAACATCCCACAAATCAAATGACGGGGCTGACTGTTTAAACCGAGAGGATTTCTCTCTGTCACAGGTGTTTTATTGTGAAAGGGCTCCAAAGACTTCTCAATGAGCTTTGCTTTTTTTTTTCTTTAAAAAAAAAAAAAGAAAAAAAAGGAAAGTTTTTATTCAAAATCTCATGAGCAAATTGTCGTGCCGAAATAAAAGAGACAAATGTTATTTGAAAATATTAGAAATGAGTTTACTCTTATTACACAGAACTATCTATCTCTAATCGTGTTCTGCAAAATATTCAAAAGTAGACCTAATTTTTTTTTTACCTAAATAAACGAACAGCCAAAAGCGTCAAACTCACCAGTCAGATGGTTCCCAGTCCGTACGAAGTGTTTGCTGGACCGACAGCCTCCTCACACTTGAGTCAGTCGGTGTGTGTCCCTCCTCTCTCTCCCTCTGTCTGTCTCAGTGTCTTGAGCGTCTGTCCCCGTCACGGCTGTAGGGATGAGACACACAGCGGTGGCTCTGATACCGCGAGCCAATGGGAAGAAAACATGAATCCTCCATTTATAAACTACAACTGACTGCAGCTCAATCTCACAGGCAGCTCACTCCGTCTACCTCCGTTCTGTGTGTCTGTCAGCAGCGTGTGCGGAAAGGAGTGGGAAAGAGAGGGAGGTTTACTCTTATCCGCTCTCCTCCCTGTTGTTTCAACACTCGCTGCTCGTCAGGCTGGATCCTCTGTCTGAAACACTGCGGGGAAACAATATGAATCGCATTACAGACTTTGCATTGATAAAACCAAGTCACAGAAAAAAATCATCTTAGAAAAGTGACAGAAAACACCCATGAAGGAGGATAAGTATTCAAGTACTATGGAGATATGCTACTTGCTGCTCCCAATGTCTTTGCCTTTGTAGTAAAGTTTTTTGTTTCAGCGTGTTAGTCACACGTGAATCTGTGTCTTCTATCAAGCTTGTCGGGGGTTAGAGGTATTTGTGTTTTTCAATAGTCTCCTTTGGAAAATTCATATTTCATAAGAAGCTATCCAGACTTATCCATAATTCAGAAACGTCTGACAGGGGAGTAGGTAGGTGGGGCTGGTGGGTGGTCACGGGCTGGACAGGGCACCCTGGGGAGCCCAGTCGCACCATCAGACTGTGACAAAAACAAAATGCTCTGTGACCAAGAGATGATGGGCTTGTTGCCAGGGAAGACAGGCAATTCAACCCTGACTGAAAACCAGCAGCCGGCTGACAGGCTGATGGGGGGGGGCAGCAACGGTGGGCACACTGCAGTCTGAACACTCCCTACTCCAACATCATCACCTAACTCAAAAGTATGAAATAAAGAGTAAGTTTTAAAGCAAACATTCCTAAAAATAAACAACCAGTGTTCAAAATGATGCGATGAAAACTTAAATGATAACAGTTTCAACTTTTATTTTTCAAACAGAAATATCCAAACCCTGCAAAACATGAACACTAGCAATAACCAAAACCTAACAAGTGTCGTGTCTAGGTTCTCTGAACAAAACAATCCCATCAATACAATCAGATGTCTACATACAGGAGACCGTGAGATCAAAGGATGACAAAATCTGTGATGTGTACCATACACCAAATGTGCATCTCCAATCATACAAAGCTGCTCCTAAAATTAAACTTGAAACATACCAAGTGCACTTATTGAAAAAAAAAAAAAAGTATAAAAAAAAGTATCGGTCACACATGCAATGTCAGTAAAATGCTTCCTGCAACTCGACTAGATTAAAACCCACAATGTTGCAATGAACCAGTATAAAGTGAACCATGTACAGTGAACATTTTCCCCAAACAGATGTAATTGAGCGCCTAACTTTAAATCATGTCCTTCATTTTCAAAGTGGATTAAAACTGCTTTCCACTTTTTTTCTCCCAAATTTAAGTTGATTTATGAGTAATGGGAAACAAAATTGATGCCGTGATTGTCCTTGAGGGTGAACCCGTGGAACCATTTGAGAAAGAGTGGTCACAGGATGGGACAGCGTAGAGGTGTAACACACACAGATGATCAATGTGCCACAACTAACCTTGAAAAGTCTGGTGTTTGACCAAGACAAGAAATCAGTAATACCAATGAGGCGCTATATTGTGACAAAACTGCCTTTCATTTACCACCTCGACCAACACCCAATGAAATAAAATAGAGCGCAAAATAAATGTTTGAAATTAATATAATGACCAAGTACCCTTATGCTGTAGTAAATTAATGAAAATTCAAATCATGTACCAAGTATTAGACCTGAAGTGGAGTTTAAGAAGCATACTCCAATGCTGAAACAACCAGACCGCTGTCAAGACATTGTTACAATGTATATAAACATAGCTTTTATGTACAGAGAGCCCTTACAGAGGCTAAAAAGCCCAAACCAAACAAACATTTAAAATAATACCAAAATTAAATAATAAAACATAAAATATAAATAGGCACAAAGGGTGAGCTTAAAAGTCTTTTCCATCTTTTGTTTGGGATAATTAACAAAGAAAAACAAAAAAGACTGAAGGATGTGAGCCCATTTATCAGCTGGTACCATGAGGGTGCTTTGCTCTTCCTGTGTAATTGTTACAGTGATCCATGTGGGTTAAAAACAGCTGACGCGTCACAGGTCAACCCTACAAGTTGTGGTCAAAGTGACTGTGATCAAACTAGTACAGTTAAAGTCAAGAGCTCCTGTAGTCTGGTTTTAAAATGGGTCTCAGAAATTGAGGGAAGAAAGGACAGAAGAGGGAATACTGAAAACAGTCTGAGGAGGTGGGTCGCTTCCAGCCGTCCGGAACATCAAGGTGTCATCCTGTCTGCATTTTGACTCACTGTAGCCCGTATCTGAGGGAACAGAAGAAAGGATATCTCATGGCAAGCAAATTATGGCCCCCTCCTTCAATTATACACCCAATCAGGATTACAGTCCTTTTTTTAAGTGTTGGTCATACAAAAACTCAATCAATGTGTTTATACAACTATAGAAATGAATGAGAAGAAGGGAAGCTGAGGACAGAAAATTAATGGACTAATGTTGGGTATGGCTGCAAAACATAATAGATGAAGGAGCAGCAAAGTGGCTGTGAAACAGCTAAACAGGGAAAGACAACCATGTGAAATGGTGAACTAACAGTATGCTGTTTTTTCCCCAACCAAATACTAAACAAGTGCTTGCACAGAATAACCCCCTCCTTCTAGAGAAAAGGAGTGCTAGGCTGCAGACTTGGCATTCCTTGACACACCATTACCCATAGTATCCCTAGCATTGTGTTTGTTTGAGTAGTGTTTTACCTGGCAGGAGGCTCAGTAGCTGTGGACTACAGCACAGTCAACATAGTCTGGACTCCACAGTCCACAAAGCTCTGGAAAGGAAGTGTAACGTTACAAAATGAATTAACTAAGAGCAGTCTTAGAGAAGCTTCAAAGACATCAACAGCTGCCATAAAACAAGAACTCCAAAACAAATTGTCAGGTACACGATCAGATGAAACAGATGAATTCACTGTTGATTCCTTCAGTTCATTCTTAAAGATGTCAACATTGGTCAGATAACACCATCTAGTGGCAAAAACTGACACTGCAATCTGTGAACAATTTGTTGCAACAAATACTAGTGGGAAAAAAAACCCTACTATCAGATGAAAACACTGACTGTCCAAAAAGTCAACAATTTAATAAGATACTCACAAATTATTAAATATAACAAATAAAACGATATTCATCTAACAAACATTTACCATAATTAGGTGGATTTTGAAATTCTCCAAGGTGCATGCAATGTTTTCAGCCCACTGGCCTGAAAAAAGGTCATGAGATTCTCACATGACAAGTGATTTGAGTTGCTCTGAAACTTAATTACACTGACATCTACTCTTATTCCCAGTAAATGCAGAGTCACCTGATTGACAGGCCGTGTCCTCTGGTCCGCCGTCCAGTGAGGTGGAGTGTACTGCGCGTGGGGGGAGAGGGGTCAGCGGTCAAACAGAGGGCAACAGGCAAACCCAGACTCACCTCTAACGGAGGGATGGGGGGGGTGTAGAGTATGGGGTAGGCAGGCACAGGCAGACCTGAACCAGGCTGAGCCCTTCATTTCATATGCAGGAGCATATGTGCTGAGCCTGGGAGACTCTGCACAGGATGCTGTTGACTAATTGGTGTGTGGGTGTGTGTGCATGTACCTGGTAGGCATAGACGTTCTGTGCGTAGTTCATTGGCATCTGTGGGATCATCACCCCTCCAAAGTTGGAATAGGAGTATGGCTGCAAAGAGAGCCAGTGAGAACACAATAAATCATAGTACACAGAGGTGTATTTAACAGACAGTGCTGAGATCTTACAATATATACTGAAAGACTTCAGCAATTCTCTTTTTATCATTTTAGTGTCCTTGCAAGGATTTTTAGCTGCTGATGTTTTTGATGGTTGGTATTGTCTGAATAATTCAACATCTTGGATATTATTAGCAATAACATTAATCATCCAGAGGCAATTTTATTTTTTTATCCTTTCTAGTAAATTGAAAAGTAAAACGATGGATTGTTCTCCAAATTGCACCTCTATTCTTGGCTGTGACAATGAGCCAACTTCCCCTTAGAGAAAATAACATTCATTTTATTTAACATAGTGTAACAGAGAATAGGAAGGTGTGTGCCAGCATTACTAATTTCACACAACCCACGTTGTGTTTACTTGGTTGACATCTTAGTTTTTTTAATTTAGTCTGCCTGGCTACTGAAATGAGAATCCTTATAGCTTGTCTATGTGTATGTGTGTTACCTGATTGTAGGGGCTGCTATTACTGAGTATGGGCGAAGGTTGTGCCATACTCCCTCCCACAGGTGAGCAGCAAGCACAGTAGAAGTACTGGGTGGGGCTCATCCAAGGAGCTGGGCCAACCAGACGGGATGGCATAGACCCTGGATGAAGAAGAAAATTAAATTGACAGTATGAAGTTGATATTTAGTAGCAGCATCTTTTAATTTCACTGGGAATCAAACATTCAAATTAAGTTCTTCCAAAGAGCATCAAAATACATACGGGAGCTCCTTTCTTTCATGATGGCAGGGCCCAGCTTCAGTTTTCGGCCCTTAAAACTGATCTGTTGCTAGAGCAAAAAAATGTGAACAGAGGAAATATTACTCCAAGTTGGAAATTAAAAATAATAGAACAAGAGCTGCACAGAGATCCACTCACATCAATGATTGACTGAATGTTGACATCTTCACTGAAGTACACAAAGCCATACCTAGGGACACACAAAATAACTTAGAATACAAAAATACACTGACTCAATACCAATATTCAATGTAAAATATGGAAGAAGAAATGACAGCTCAGAAGAAATTATGAAATAAGCTATGAATATTCTTAAAACTGAATATGTAGATAACCAATCTCCCAGCTTACACACACACTTAAAGATAAGTTAAGGCCCTGTTCACCTGAGCAAACAGCAAAACTCACCCTTTGCAGATACCTCCACGGTATGTGATAATTTTTACTTCCTTAACAGCACCATATCTCGCAAAGAAGTCCCGCATTTCATTTTCATCCACCTGAATGTTAAAATGAATTTAAGTAAAAAAACCTAAAATCTTAGTAGCTGACTTGACCTTATTCACTCTATTATGTACTGTAGAAGAAAAACAAAGCAGTGTACTGTGCTGGTGAAGTTGTCAAAGGGGCTATGACATTGAAAATTTAATTTACAGTAGTATAATACTTTCACTGAATACATTTTATACATATAAACGTGTGGGCAGCAAGCTTGAAGAAACCTACAGTATTCTATTAGAGATACAGTGTAAAGGACAACAGTCAGTTAAACACTGGTAGGTTAAAAAAAAAGAAAAGAAAAAGAATGTCAGTTACAGTATGTATTCCTTGGTCAGTTTGCACTACTAGTGTAACCCCACCCACTCAAGCCACCATCACCCTCTACTACTTTTGAGATACCAGAGCGAAAAAGTGCAATTACCCAAGTTTACTGGTGCCTTAGATAGCTACTAAACATGTTTGTAAAATAGCAATTCCACCAATAAATCATAAAATTAGCTGACTGATTTTTATTTTGCAGTTTACATTTCTAAACAGGCAGGCAGAGCTCAGACATGGCCTGGATATTAGGATATGTGTACTTAGATGAACACCTGCAGATATTTACAACCTATCAAATTTAATTTCACACAGCTGTGCCCACATTTGTGTGAAATAATAATTTCTTCCCTTTTACTCCATCATATTTTTCATCTTTGCCACATTTAGGCGGAAAAAAAAATCTCATTTTAAACAGGCAGTTTAAATGTAAACTAAATTGGTCTGATTTTACCTTCATGTCTATCCCACCAACAAACAGGGCGTTGGGAGTCAGTTTTCCCTCTGGCAGAATGTAACCATTGGACAACTTCAGGGAAGGTGACGTCTGGTTGCTGCTCCTCGGCTTGTGGATATCCTTAGAATTTTTCAGAGAAAGAATTAGAGAATGACAGGAAAATACCAGAGTCTATGAGCCAGCACTTCGTTGAATATATATGGTGAAGTATAATTCTCTACAAGCTCATGAGACTGAGATGACTTGTTGTGCATGTTACGGACTTGGCGCTGCTTCCATTTCCATGTGATAAATGCTGATCAAGCTAACCGCATAATTCGGATTAGATAAAGTTAACCTCATGGCTTTAAGTGTTTTCGTTTTATTTGGTTTGGTTTTGGTTTTTCCGTGACAGAAGATAACTTCGACAAACAACATATTTCGGCAAAAAAAAAAAAATCTGTTTACATTCTTAGCTAAATTATAACTCGGTATAACACGTAACTTAAAGTAACAAGAACGCTTGACTCTGTCCAACAGTGGTGCTGCTGGAAACATACGAAAAAAGCATCGACAGACAGTCAGCGGTGGACTGTAACTTATCGCCAGTGTTAGCTAGTTGTTACAAATGTTAAAATGCAATTTAACTGATAGCCCAAGCTAATGTTAGCTAGCAGCGGCTAGTGCGCCTTTTTCAGTTCTTCAGGCGAAGGTGGCTAAATATAAAGTTAGCTAACACTGCTGTTAATTAGCACAGCAATTAACTAGCATATTGATTGACAAGTCAACGAATCGCTTCAACCTAGCAAATCGACTGCTAGAAATGTAACAGTACATTGTTGTACGCATAAATATATCACTAAAAACTTACCATATCTAAAATAGTTAAAACTAATAAATTAGTCAGACACTCAAATGAAGCCTCGACCCCTTGTTCTGCCCGACAACAGCCACCTCACATCAGCCAAAACCACGCCCAGTTCACATGACTAATGTAACGTCCTATCAAATGTTAGATTTCAACCAGATTTCAATGAAGGTTGGCTGTGAACTTCGATCTTGTCATCTTTACATAAGAAATGTGCCACAATTGCTGTAACAAAAAGGTACAAAACCAATTGTCCTGCACATATCTGCATAGTTCCTACGGGACTCCTTCACAACTGAACATTTTCTGAGGGACTTTTTAATCAGACTAGTCTTGCTTCTTGTAACTAGTAACTTGTAATTTACTATTGTTGAGTGATAATCATCAAATAAATGCCCATATGTAGATTTGATTCAAATTTGAAATTGATATGTTTGCCATACATGTAAGAGCACAATGTCCCTTAATGAACAAATTACATTACATTAGAGGAATGTTTCTACTTCCAGTTTTGATTCCTTCTCTTGTGCCATGCTTGGAAATAAGTTGAATAAATCAAACCACATATAAGATGCAACCTCTCCCTTAAACAATAATTCACTCTATTTTTTCCTACTGGTAACGTATTGTTTTAAGCCTATATATAGGCCTAGCCTATATATAAATCTGTGAGAAACTGTAACACTCCATTTACCGAAATGCATAAGCAACCATCAAGTGGCTAAAATGATTGTTCAAAAGGAGTGTCAGTTTATTTGTTGAAATTCTGCAGATATTGTGTTCTGAATTTCTTCAGACATAAACTTAACTTGACTTAACCATGGCTATGATAGCCCTAGTCTTGACCATGACCCTTAATTTAACCTGAGTGAACAGATTTTTCATGCTAGAAAACTGAAACTGTCTTTGTTAGAAAATAACTTTGGTATGGTATATTTGAAATTTAGAATTTTGTAATTTCATATTGCATTCAGTTACTGTGTATCTGTATTTTTTTCAGTACATAATGATTTGATAGGTTGGTCAATAATGTAATTATACTAAAGCTGCATTTTTTCCTTATATTTGAGGCTAGATGGTTGACCTGCATGCACCCAACCTGAAGGCACATCCGGGGAGGGGGCAGAGAGCCTGCCAGCAGAGGGCAGAATACAACCAAATGATGATGCTCCCAGGTAAACGATTAGGACAGCCCACCAACCCAACCCAGAGCCCTGTTCTCATAATGGAATGGAATGGAAAAAGTTTGATTTGAATAAATGTAGTTGTATCACAGTATAGTAGTAATATTAGTTGGTTGTAACTATATATTTCACACAGAAATGTGTGCGACCTATGATCGGGAGTCAAGCACACGGGGTACCGCCCACCACAGCTTCTCTTATAGTAACAAGGTAGTTGGTGTTACCATGGAGACGTTCCTGGATGACAACAGTGTTTTAGTTTACAGCAACGTGATGGCTTTTCCTCATCCAAAGCACTGACAGGGCGAAACAAAAACTCTCAGCAGCAGGTAAGTGTTGATGAATACTAACACACTCTTCAGCTTCTGCTGCTGCTACGGAATGTTGCAGGAACTTTTACGTAAAACATTTAAGCTAATATGACTCAATCGTGAAAGAAATCCTGCCAGCATAACGTTACAGCGACTGATAGAAGGTAACTGATATTAACGGCACAGTGTGTCATGTTACTATTACATTATCCGGGAGATATTTGAAATGTCTGTTCGTTCATTCAAGCTATTTATGTGTTTTCCGTTCTTTCACTGACAGAAAAGCTGAGCAAGATGGAACGTCTGAAGCAGGTAACGTTAACCGACCTTGTGTTTGTAATTTAAGAATTTAAAGATGCAGTTTGACTGAACAATGTTGATGTATGGGCTGGTTCTGGTATAAACTGTATCTCCCTAACAAAACTTAAAGGGAGAACTCAAGGAATGTCTTTATCATAAATAAAATAATATATTTTAAGTATTGCAATAAAAATATGTTTGTGTTTTATTAGGATATTTAACTGAATTTTGTACAGTTTTTAGTAAATAAGGCTTGTACAAAAACTAAAAAATTAAGAGATCATAAGAGGTATTTAATGCAATGTCCAAATAAGTGTCCGTGGTCCATATGCAACCCTCAATGTTTTTGTCTGAACTACAGATGGAGGATGACTCTATCTATAATATGAGTCAGAGCAGAGGGTATCCTGTTCCCCCACCTTTGCCCATGACTTGTAATGCTGAGCCCTCAGAACTGTATCAAGTAAGAATGTCAATCACTGTGTCATACATGAACTTTTATGCTCAAGTATTTGGTAAGTTGTTAACCCTTATGCCACCATCCTTACATTCAGTCTGTTATTTTACCTCAGATGGTCATGAGGCACAGCCATTACCCACCCATCCTTCAGAGCAATTCATGGACTCTGGCAATTCCTTTTAAAGAGCAGCATCGCCACCGCACTCCCAGTGAGTCAATTGCAAACAACTACAGCCCCTGCGCCCAGGACCTAAAAATTACGAAACTCCGGCAGAGACGACACACTCTCCGTCAGTCCTTGGCAAGATCAGCAGGGCCTTGTATCCTTTTGACGTTCTTTGTATATCAAACCATGGTTATTGTAACTAAGGGGAGCCTGTCTGAAGCTATCTGAGATTGCAATGTTCTTTACTTTGCTATCTGATGATAATTTAGAATGTGAACTCTTAATACTCCTGTGTAAACTTTTCAGAATGATTTTTGATCTTAATGAGGCTGTTAGCATTTATCCCTCCTGGAAGGAAACAAGCAATTACACCAAGGAGCAGGTAGTTATTCCCTTAAAGCAGCTGTTTATTTTGTTTGTTTTTTTTTTTTTTGAAGCACTTGATCTGATTCCTTCATGTTTTCACAGGGAAACCTTCTCTGCTTCACTCTCACCTCGACCAAAGCCTAGATCGCGAAATCTTTGCACTTCCAGCAGCTGGCCTATGAGTCCTGAAGAGCAGCTGGATATTATACGCAGGCAAGAGGAGAAGATGAAGGCCATACAGGCAGAACCCAATGAGAAGGACTTGGAAGTGAGTATGAGTGAATTCAGTTATGAACTAGTCAATTGCTGATTAGAGTCTTTTGAGTCACTTTTCTGACACATCGATGATCTTGACTTTACTCACACAGAGGTACATATACTACATCAACAATGGTGTCCCCAGCTCTGTGCTGGCCCCACAGCCACGTCAGCAGATGATGAACATATTGCACCTGTTGCCTCCTGACACTGAAGACAGTAGCAAAAACATCCAGATTATGAGGGCTAACATGGAAGAGGAGGTCAAAAGAGATTATTACTTCAGCCTCAAGAAGAGCATAGGTATAAAACAAAAGCATCAGTAATTGTTCCTTGTAATTGTAATTGTGTATTGCTTTATTTAGACACCCTAAGCATACACCAGTTTGACATTTAACATTGCATCTGTTTGGTCTTCCATCTTGTTCCTTGCCAGTGGACTATATTTTGATAGATCCATCTGAGTGCCAGCGACTGTCCATATCCAGCATCCCCAAGCCCTTCCCCAGCAGGGTGATACGTGCTCCAGTGCCCTGGGCAGCTAGTTACAGGGAGGCCCACATGTGGCAAAACCAACACCTGTTTACTCTCAGTCACATTATGATACTACTGCAAGATGTCTGGCTAAACAGGTAATGAATGTTAGATTATATTGTATTTTACCTGAATGAGTAAATGGCATGGACACATGGTCAAGGTCCCTCCAGCTAATACTGCTCATATTCCTTTTCAGCTAGATTACTAGAGCTTCTGACTGCTCTTTGACACAAGAGAAGTGGTGTCAGATACAAACACTAAATAGTATCTAGACCCATCATGGGCATGGTGGTGTGAAGTTGAATTTCTGTTTTAGTTTGTGAGATTTGACAAACAAAAAGAGTAGGCTGATTTAAAAAATAATTTGAGGTAAAACTAAAAATGTGTGAATGATAACTCATCAGTTTTTAATCTTGTTTCAGCTTCTCATCCTTGAGATTTGTCAGGCTTGAGGACCTTTTCTCCAGCAGCCTCCCCCTCCTACCATCCGATTTTGAAGAGTTTGTCCAGAGACAGTGCCAAAGCACCAGAGAAGAACTGATCCACAAGTGAGTAATGCCAGTTTACTAGACAGTCTCGAAACAGCCAGTCTGTCAGTGACACCATAAGCTGATTTCTAGGCTTAATCATTGTAGTGTGTTCTCATTGTATAGGCCTGCAGTATGTACACAACCAATACAGCTAATCCTGTTGTAGGTGCAGGCTCATGTTTCCACCTTGTCCACTTTGTCAGACCCATGTCAGGCTGCCTTTCAGGGGATTGCTTTACATAGTACCTCACTTGAGGATTGCATTGCATCCTTTGTTGCATGGCTGTTGTATAGC